TAAAGCTTTCATCTCTGAGAGAGAGGAGAAAATCAAGCTGCTTCAGATCTGAAAACATCCACAGGTGTTTCTGTCCATCCTTCCACTGTGAGAAGACGACTCAGCGCTGTGGGTCTGAAAGGATGTGTGGCTGATCAAGAAGAACCTCACTGAGAAAAGGAGACGGACACATCAAACAAAGAAGCTGAACGATGGACTGACCACCCCAGAGTCCAGACCTCAACACCACTGAATGTGTTTGATTACTTCAGAAAATGATCAACCAGCTTCTAAGACTGAACTTTGGAGGTGTGTCTGCAGATTCTTTGAGGAACTGAAAGCGAGTCGAAGTATGTTATGTTGTATTAGTTGTTGAGGCTTCTGGGTCATTTTCTATTAAATATTTGTATTTGGAAAAATTAATAGCTTGTTCTTGACTGGAAATTCAGAGTGTTGTTCTGCTACAAGGAGTGTAGGAAGCTGTCTACATAGTCTGAATGGAGGAGTGAAAAAATTTGCCTTCTTGACTTAAACAGTGCTCGTTTTTCTCTATTAGGGATTAAAGAATGTGAGAGTGAGTAAATGTGTCAGAGTGGAGGAGGGAGGCGGCGTTAACTGCAGCCATGAGAGAAACCAAAAGAAAGAGAGAGAAACGAGTGCAGGACCCTCACCTTTGGCCTCCTTTTACCCTGTGCCTCGTCTTACTGAAGCACATGAGACAGAGAGACAAAAGGATGTTTGTCCTGTTATTATGATGCTGCTAACCTCCAGTATGTGTTTCTACAGATTCATAACCACTTCTGCTGTTGACCCATTTATTACCTTTATAAAGAAATGTTTCCCACCTAAGACCCTCCTTCCACATCTCATTCTAGAGAAGTGCCTCTCAAATGCGCGTCTCCAAGGTTTATGCAAATAATCCTGCTATACTCGCTCCGATCTGGCTTTGGCTTTGAAGTTGGAATGCTCCACAGTATAAACTGGGGATGGTGGGCACTGGGGGTGGGCTTGGAATACATGCCAGCAATACAAATTCATCCGAGCAGATTTAGGAAAAGTAAATTCTAGTTGTGGTTCTGAAATCTGATTGGCTGAGCCTCGTTCAAACTCAATATATTGTTCATAAAATAGACATTATGTTGCATAACACTTAAAAAATACCGGTTCTTTAGTAAAGGCAAAGGTTCTATATGTAACCAAAAGGTCCATATAGAACCACTGCATGCTTAAATGGTTCTTTGCCTGGTGAAATGGTTCTTCAGGATGATGGAGAGTGTGCCATTTTCTATACAGAACCATATATTCTCCATCAATCTGAAGAACCATTTAAGTGTGAAATGGATCTATATACACCGATCAGGCATAACATTATGACCACCTCCTTGTTTCTACGCTTGTTGTCCATTTTATCTGCTCCACTTACTATATAGGTGCACTGCTGTGTCTGATCCACTCGTACCAGCACAACACACACCACCACTACGTCAGTGTTACTGCAGTGCTAAGAATGATCCACCACCCAAATAGTACCTGCTCTGTGAGGGTCCATGGGGGTCCTGACCACTGAAGAACAGGGTAAAAGGGGGCTAACAAAGTATCAGAGAAACAGATGGACTACAGTCTGTAACTGTAGAACTACAAAGTGCACCTATATAGTAAGTGGAGCTGATAAAATGGACAGTGAGCGCAGAAACAAGGAGGTGGTCATAATTTTTATGCCTGATCGGTGTATATGGTTCTAAATAGAACAATTGCCTTTACTAAAGAGCCCTTGAAGAACCATCTTTTTTTAAATGTGTACTGTCAACAAACATGAATTGCTTGTATTGTTTATTGCAAGTATTAATAATAATAAATTCAGTTGTTTATTGAACATCAGTGTATTTTATACTGTTATATATTGTCACCACATTATCAAAGCAATAAGCAACAAGGTTTTTTGTACCACCAGTAAGGGGCGTTATTAGGCAGGAAGTAAAACCTGTGTGAAATCACAGACGCTTGGTCTCACCTGGTTGATTGCTTTTATGAATACAGCAACAACATAAAATATGATCAAATACACACATTTTTAATAAATAATTAAAATTATAACATAGGAATTGTGATAAACCATTCTTCCACCAAGAAATGTAGTTTGTTTAGAGTTGGCAATTGTTGCTAAACAGCAATGCTGAAGGGTGACAAAAACTTTTGAGTGACCTATTATTGTTTATTACGATCATTTCATGAACTTATTCACTTTTTGTTATATATTAATGAAAATGTAACAGAGCAGTGTTTAGTGCAGAGACTTTCAGCTAATAAGTAGTTTTTGCTGACCACCACTGCAATGATAATGCTAATTCCTGATAGTGCCTTCCTGTCCTGTGTTAGCATCGAGCTAACAGTGTCACAACACACTGGGTTTGAAACTACTTAGATCTAACCAAAACCAAAAAAAACAAAAAACATTGTATCTTTACTTTTTATTTCACAGTTTTACACAGAATAATTTAGTAAATACTTCAGTACTTCAGCCTAACACTGAATGCACTGTTTAGCCTGTTTAGCCTGCTGTGTTTTAGCCCAGTCAAGAAAGTTGTCAGCCCTTTAGTTTAAAGCAGGGGTATTTAATAAAAATTCAGTAAGGTCCAGTTAGAGAAAATATCCTCAAGCGAAAGGTCCAGAACATCATAATGTCTAACTTGCATCATGATTCAGTGCCATATACTGTTTACTGAAGTGGCCTAGTAGGTATATCAGCATCTTACACAGTCAACAACTGAATGTCAGATCAAATAAAGTACAATTCAGTCATATTTCAACAACATTTATCGTCAGTTTTCTCTTTTTAGAGCTCAGCAAGTGAAATAACTTCCCTCTGACTCACTTTCTTCTCCAACACCTCGTCCCTCTGCTGTGTGTGCATCACTCACTCGAGTCTCAGTGCTCATCGTAATGCACAGATCTGATTGGCCGAGTAGCGTCACGTGTGATATTTACAATTTACGAAGTCTGCCTATTAGTGACCCCTGGTTTAAAGAGTTCTTTCTTCATCTTTCACTTGGTGGTGCATGTGAGCAGCTGAACAGCCCAGAGTGTTACAGCACAGTGTTGTTTAATGAGCACATTAGTGTTAATACAGAATCCAGTTGTTGTGAGGTGATCGTATGTCGAGTATAACAGCTTCGAATGCAGCTCAGCCAAACAGATTTAGGACCGGAACTATCAAAGCAGTAATTCACTCAAGGCCTGAGTTATAGCGATTTTACCACAGTTAAAGTGGTTTAACTCGTATCACATCATGCTAACTAACACCCCCTAACTGTGGAAAGATCACTGTAACACACAGCCTTGAGCGGCTTATTGGTTCAGCAACCTTGCAGTGACTGATTTATAGTAGAACCTGCAGGGTCTGTCCTCCTACATTGTGAGAGGTTGTTGCTTTTAATATGTTTAGGTCCAAAATCTTGTTTAGAGGACCCGGCCAATTTATTAGAAACCCCTCCCCTGTAGCTCCTTGTTGGTGTACAGTCCATACTGAAAAAACAGCAAGCATTTACATGCTGGTCTATGCTGGTCTGTCCTGGTCTATACTGGTTTATGCTGGTCAAGTGCTGGTCTGTTTCTGGTTTAGCTGGGCCAGCATGGTCATCAAAGCACAACATGTGCTTGCTCCATTGCTGCTGACCAGCATATCACCATCCAAAACACAATATATGCTGGCTTTGCTGGTGACCAGCCATGCTGGTATAGGGTTTAGAGACTGTAGCTCATCTGTTTGTGTTCGCCATCCTTTAGTCCCCATGTGTCAAACACAAGGCCCACGGGCCAGATCAGGCCCTTGGCACGATCCAATCCGGCCCTCGAAATTATTTTGATTTTCTATTAATATTAGCCCATTTCACAATCACCAGCACTATAATCCCCAGCATGCACTGCGACGTAATTGGCACCGACGCCCCACTCCCAACAACAACCTATGGGACAGCAGTTTTCTACCCAGTTGCACATCATACCACCAAACACACCAGCTGGGTTTCAGCTTCAGTTCAACCAACATAAACACTATAAACACTCAGCAGCTCAGAAACTGATCCCTAAAATTAATGAACTTGCAGAAAAGATGTCAGGTGTTGAGACCAAACACACAGGTAGGTTTGAAAGCTCTACATCCTGGGGACGATTAAAGAGATTTAACAGTTATCTGTAGCTAATGTAGGCCCAAATATATTTATATTTACATATATGTAAATATATAAGTGTTTACATGTAATATTTGAAGGTGCTGTTGATGTTTTGGAGTATTAAAATAAAACGCTCTCTGGCCCTCGGATTTGTTGAGATTTTTTAATGTGTCCCTTTTAGTGGTTGAGTTTGACACCCCTGCTTTAGTTCTTCATCAGTGGTCAGTTTCTGATCAGAGAGCCCAATATTTTGGGGTGGTAGAGCTTTTTGGATGGTCTGTAAGTCTACACCTAAATAGTGGACTTAGAAGGTAGGGGTTTCCAATAAAATGGCCAGTCTGTGTAATGTGGGAATTGTTCAGTCCATGTGGATTATTGGAACATTTCTATATGATTGCAGATGAGAAGGCTTCTCCATGAGTTATTACCAAAATGCTCACCATAACACAACATGAAATAAGATAAGCATCGCATGCAACAGTTAAGTTAGCGTTTTTCGTAGCACGCCTAGCCCGGGATTCACAGTGATATCCCCCCATTATTTCTCCGCAGCCCCTTTTATCGTCCTCCGGCTTCTATTTTCTAGTCCATCTCAGCTCTCTCCGAATCCATTATAAAGCACTTAGGGCAAATTCGAGGGATAAATTGATAACACAGCAGTTGCTCTCTCTTGGAAGGAGGCTTTTTACAGTGAACCCGGCTGAACTGTGAGCAGCAAAACAAGAAACATACTTGCGAAGGCTAACGTTTACTATTACAGTATTGATTTCTGCTGTTTTTGCTTAGACTGTCGAACGCAGAGCTGAGGTATTATAGGGTAACGGCAGCTTCATTGTCTTTTTTTATACACAGGTGACCTTGATGCTTTGAAGAAACAGAACTTCACCATGAAGGAGGGAGTGGATTACAGGGTGAAGATCCACTTTAAGGTGAAGTATGGCTTCGAAGGATAGGAATCTGGATGGTGATATGATTAGAGACACAAATATACACCGATCAGGCATAACATTATGACCTTGTTTCTACGCTCATTGTCCATTTTATCAGCTCCACTTACTATATAGGTGCACTTTGTAGTTCTACAGTTACAGACTGTAGTCCGTCTGTTTCTCTGATACTTTGTTAGCCCCCTTTTACCCTGTTCTTCAGTGGTCAGGACCCCATGGACCCTCACAGAGCAGGTACTATTTGGGTGGTGGATCTTTCTCAGCACTGCAGTAACACTGACGTGGTGGTGGTGTGTTAGTGTGTGTTGCGCTGGTACGAGTGGATCCGACACAGCAGTGCTGCTGGAGTTTTTAAACACTGTGTCCACTCACTGTCCACTCTATTAGACACTCCTACCTCGTCATTCCACCTTGTAGATGTAAAGTCAGAGACGATAGCTCATCTGCTGCTGCACAGTTTGTGTCGGTCATCCTCTAGTCCTTCATCAGTGGTCACAGGACGCTGCCCACAGGACGCTGTTGGCTGGATGTTTTTGGTTGGTGGACTATTCTCAGTCCAGCAGTGACACTGAGGTGTTTAAAAACTCCAGCAGCACTGCTGTGTCTGATCCACTCAGACCAGCACAACACACACTAACACACCACCACCAAGTCAGTGTTACTGCAGTGCTGAGAATGATCCACCACCCAAATAGTACCTGCTCTGTGAGGGTCCATGGGGGTCCTGACCACTGAAGAACAGGGTAAAAGGGGGCTAACAAAGTATCAGAGAAACAGATGGACTACAGTCTGTAACTGTAGAACTACAAAGTGAAAGTATATGGTCAGTGGAGCTGATGAAATGGACAAGGATGGGTTTTAAGGTTATGGCTGATCGGTATTATGTAATACATTGTAATGCGATATATTACATGTAATATATTTTATATGTCATATATTGTAACATGCCTTCGCAAGCTTCATGTGAAGTGATTTATATACTTGTCATTATTATTTACATATTATTAATACCAAGTATTGAAACTTTTGATGCTCTCAAACTTAAGTGTGCATTTTTATAAATATTTTCCCACATATGTGATAACATTCCAATATAAAAACTCCTCGTCTGCATTTAAACTTCAGTACAAAAGCACAAAACTAATGATTTTAAATGTCTTTAAGTATCAGTAGTAAAAATGCTTTGAGTTATTGAGAATATTATGTATTATTTTGATGCACAAGGGAAGCCTGTGTGACTGCTCGCATGAAAAATCATCTTATGTCATCTAGGATAAATATATAAATATTGCTTTACAAATATGTTATTCAATGTTTATCCAAATTTTAAAACAAATTTGAGTTTATGATATTTTTAACATCAATTCTAATGTAACCATATAATTGTGACAGCCTGAGTAACATGCGGCCTGCGTGGCCGGAGTTCATTTCCCCCTCCTGAGTGCTGCGTCCCGAAGGTCACAGATGAGAAGCGCGTGTATAAACACATGCAAGCGTTTCCCAAGCTTATATTCTTTAAAAAGCACGGCCCTTAAAAACGTGCATAAACATTCCAGGGTACAAAATAGACACAGAGTCAGCTTGGTTTGTTTTTTTAATAGAAATATCCATCCATTTGTGCTGAGGAATGCACTTGTTTTTGTAAGTATTTATTCTGGAGGGGTCCATTTGTTGTATTTGATAAGTCACTCTGCCGTGTCTGCCAGTCACAGCTAAAGCAGGATCCTGTTTTTGTTTCCGTAAGTCTGTATAGCTAAATCTAGCTTTTGTTCCTCGCTCCCCTGGGCCTGGAGAGAGTGGATGAACCTCAAAGAGAACACAGAATTAAATTAATTTCTGAGATATTAACGTGGACGCCAAACCCTCAGGGGCTCTGAGTGGGAAGGAAGAGCCAAAGTGGTGCTGCAGCGTCCTCATCGCCGCCACCTGGTGGCTAACAGTGTTTTAAAAGGGCCTGATAATGAAAACAGCTCCTTAAACTAATAATATTCATCATAGTGTGTGTCTTCCTCCCATCTGCTCTCCTCAGGTCAATAGGGACATCGTGTCTGGGCTGAAGTATGTGCACTTGACCTACAGGAAAGGCCTTCGAGGTAAGGGCATCTGCTGCTGTGCATCTCAATGCGCTCTCTGAATGTTGAATCAGGGCCTGAATGCCTGGTTTTCTTGGAATGTGGTGATTTACATTTCATGAATTTAGATGAGCGGAGCGGCTGGTGAATACATATTTTTGCGTTTTTGTCAGGTTTATAAAAGGTGTCAATTTCAAGCGTTTCCCATTTGGCTCCGTATATTAAAGGAATGATTTGAATTTATTCATTTTTTAACCTTCCTCAGATGTACTCGTTTAGCCAAGACATGTTTGGTGTCCAGATTTTGCCTTGTTAGTTTAAAGCTGGAGCTACGAGGCTAATTTTGTCAATAGTCACCCAAATATTTTCTGTAAATACATCCTGAAAACGTCTCTCAAGCCACCCAAAGCGCATCCAGGCCTTCATTAAGGTGGCACAGACTTGTGGACATGGTTTAGGACACCAACTGTTCACCAACTGTTCTTAAGAAGAAATTTCTTCTTAAAACCCACAAACACAGTTTTTACACAGTATTCTGACATTCAGAGAGAATGAGGTCCACCGCTCTTATCAATCAAATCTGAATGCAGACAGATTTCACAGACCGTTTTGTTATTCATCAGTTTCTCCTTTGGCGTGTGTCTGTATGATTAAACTCATATCTGGTAGGAGTGTGTGTAAATTAGAGTGTAGTATATATTTTTAAAAATGCATGATTTGCTAAATTATTGTCAGTGCATTAATAATATTAGCAATAACAACACTGGCATAAACAAATGCTGCAACTCTAGTTTCCACATAAAGGCTTTTTGTGCTACTGATACATGATACATAGTGAATGACCCTAAACTACAAAACATAGCTTACGTAGTGCAGCAGAAGCTCATATACTGACATATTATCACCCAGCCAGTGTTTTTGCAAAAACAGGATTAAAAATTACTAAAAAACATGGCGACGATGAATAAGGTTGTAATAATCCGCTTACAAAAGAGACGAAAGCAGCAGAGTTGTTGACGCTGGTCGTCTGTGAGGCCATTACAAACTTCACAACATGTGGACAGTGCGGAGTCCCGCTGGTGACACCCTGTATAAATAAAAATAATGTGTGGCCACAACTTAGTAAGGCATGGGAACAAGATAATTAAATCGTGGCCACACCTTATTAACGCGTGGGAACAAGATCATCCCTTACTAAGTTGTGGCCACTCATTAGGATTTCATTCCCATGCCTCACTAAGTCGTGCTCATGACTTAGCAAAGCATGGGAACAAGATAATTAAGTCATGGGCACGACTTAGTGAGGCATGGGAATGGGATCCTAATGAGTGGCCACAACTTAGTAAGGCATGGGAGCGAGATCCCAATGAGTGGCCACAACTTAGTAAGGCGTGGAAATAAGATCCGAATGCATGGGAACGACTTAGTAAGGCATGGGAATGAGATAAGTTGTGGCTATGACTGAGTAAGGCGTAGGAATGAGATAATGCCTTACTAGCACGCATTAGGATCTCGTTCCCACACCTTACTAAGTTGTGGCCACACATTAGGATCTCATTCCCATGCCTTACTAAGTTGTGGTCACTCATCGGGATCTCATTCCCATGCCTTACTAAGTTGTGGCCATGACTTAATTATCTTGTTCCTACGCCTTACTAAGTCATGGCCACACATTATGTTTATTTATACAGGATGTCACCAGTGGGACAGAAAATTCTTTTCACCTGTATTACCAATGAGAGAAATTGGAATGTGAATGAGATCCTAATGAGTGGCCACAACTTAGTAAGGTGTGGGAACGAGATCATACCCTACTAAGTCGTGGCCACGCATTAGGATCTCGTTCCCACGCTTTACTAAGTTGTGGCCACACATTAGGATCTCATTCCCACGTCTTACTAACTTGTGGTCACTAATTAGGATCTCATTCCCGTGCCTTACTAACTTGTGGCCACAACTTACGTATCTTGTTCCCATGCCTTACTAGGTTGTGGCCACGCATTATGTTTATTTATACCCAATGTCACCAGCAGGGCTCTGTAGGACAGAGAATTCTTTTCACCTGTATTACCAGTGAGAGAAATTGATCATGTCTGGTTTGAATATTTGGCTACGCCAGATTTCCGGTGGCACTGCTCTGTTTAATCTGTATCCATAAACTTCAGTGAACATGCAGAAATATAGACCAAACAAACGCAGAGTACAGACCGAAGTTTATTTAACGTTGAGTATAAGTGAGCCTTTACCTTCACACACCACTACTTGAGTACATCAACTCGACTGATCCCATCTTTTTAACCAAAAATATGCACTAAAATTGCACAAATGTTCAAGATCTCTTTATTTCTTCTGCTTGCAGTGGATAAAGCTGTGTACATGGTGGGCAGCTATGGGCCGAGGGTGGAGGAACATGAGTTCATCACCCCGGTGGAGGAGGCGCCCAAAGGCATGATCGTCCGGGGCACCTACCACATCAAGTCTTACTTCACAGATGACGACAAGACGGACCACCTGTCCTGGGAGTGGAACCTGCAGATCAAGAAGGACTGGGACAGCGCGGAGTAAAGCAGCTCCCTCTCTCTGTCCCGCGTGCACCTGCGCCGCTGCATAGGGCCTGACCGCATGTAGGAAAGGTGCACGGAGAGGGGTTTACGCTGGGCTTAGCTGTGGAACAGGGTTGGGTTCAAGAATGTATCTTTTGTTACTATACGAGGGTGAAATTAATGCAAATATAAGGACTATTAGAGCTGGACCAGTTTTCCCAGAGCAGGTTGTGTAGTGTAATGTGCAGGATTTGATTGGCCGACGGGTTCGAGATAAAGTGTCTGTGTAATTTCGTCAGATTTCTGGGACTGAAAAGTCGAAGCCTGGATGTTAACACTCAACAGGACAGTCAGACTGTAAAACTACACACACTGCAGATTCATACTGGATTAAAATCACTCCACAATTATTACTGTCAGACTGTAAAACTACACACACTGCAGATTCATACTGGATTAAAATCGCTCCACAATTATTACTGTGAGACTGTAAAACTACACACACTGCAGATTCATACTGGAATCCCAGATCTCGTCCGTAATCAGTTAAATTATAGAGCCTGCCCTGGTAAAATGAATCCAGCTCCAATAGGACTACACAGTGCGTAATTATTAGGGTCCAAGGGATGGTAGGGAAATACGTATATATGCGACGACTCGCCGGGTTTTCGAGATGAATTTCCTAAAGAACATGTTATCAGCTGTATAAACGACAGACAAAATTCCTCGCGCCTGTACTCTCAGGTTAGTTCGTGTTTTGAACTGTAAATGTATGTATTATGACGTCCGTATCCTTCGCGTTTAAGGTTCTTTCCGGAGCTTCAGAGCAGAACGGTGCATGCGTGAGTGTGAAATGATCGTGCAGTGGCTTCTGTACTGACTCTGTAGTCAGACCGTTGTGAATAACTGTGGGTTTTCGCAGAGATTAAAGGAATATTTCAGCGTTTTTTAATCCAGTGTCTGTTTGGCCCCATATGTATCGTACCATTGATTAACACAGACAGTCACTGTGTCACTTCAGCACCTGCCCATTGGCTTCTGTTATATGTTTGTTCCCCACACATATACATTTGTTGATATATATATATATATATATATGTAAAATAAGGTAAAATACATTTTAAACACAGGTACACTGCAAAAAATGGTATCTTGTCAAGTAAAATTATCTTAAATCTAGTCAATAAATCTAATATTTCTCCTGTTCAGATTACTGTAAGATTAGTTTAAGATTATTTTAGCTTATTTCCAAACATTTTTTACTTGTTTTAAGCGATTTTATTCAGTAAATTTATCTCACTATATTTGCAGATAATTTTGCTTGTTGTAAGAAATGTGCTTGAAACCAACAAAATTATCTGCCAGTACAGTGAGATCATTTTTCCTGAAATATGAAAAAAAATTGGGAAATATTTGAGAAATCAACTAGAATTGAGATCATTTCACTTGACAAGATACCGGTTTTTGCAGTGTAGCGTGTCCTTCACAACAACTGGTCGTGGGCTCCAATCCCAGGACTGACCGGATATCCAGGCTGTGCATTTAACCCTCCGTTCCTCCAGGTGGCGCTACTCAGCAGGCTCGCCGTACTGCTCTGACTGGGCATAGTTAGGCCGCAATGACAGATTTCCCTCAGAGGACCAATAAACGTACAAAACATAACATCTGCCATGACGTTTATGTTATGTAGCAAATCAGTAGAATGTCCTTAATGTCCTTATAGCATCAGAATGGATGCTGTTTAACCACATTTTGTGTATTTGCTAATGCTAATGCTAATCGCTATATGCTAAAACCCAACCCTGCCACTGTCAGCAAGGAAATGTTAAAAAAAGAAGAGATTATTCTTGAGATTGATTGTTTTCTTAGATTCGATTTTGAAAAATGATGAAAATAAAAATGTTGTTTAAGACTCACAAAAGCTAGTAGCACCCCAATCATATATTAACCTAAATACAGCGAATGCATTCAAGTTATTAGGCTTGGTGATCGACCTAATGCTACGAACGCAGGTTAAAAGGCGCCGGAGTATTCCTTTAACCCTCCCTGCTGACCTCCACAAAGTGACGTGTGCTAAGTGTCGCTCATGCCAGAGTTGTTCCCGAGGTTAACGCCATAATCAAACAGCACCCTCATGTCCAGCGCTTCTGACTTTGTTTTTACCGAACTAGCATTTCTTCTACTCTTTTAGCTTTCATATTAGGGCCTCTCATACCTCTTTTCTGCAATGATAACGAAAATAAAGGATGAAAAAGTCTCGTTTGTGTGCTTGACAATATGATAAAGAGCAAGTGACCACATACATTTACTTCTGTATGTACTTCTCCTTGTTTTAAGCCACTCTGACAAACAGTGCCAAGCTGCGAATCATTACACGAGGAACTTAGGTATAACAAGAAATTAAGTATAACATGCATGAGGCTCATATGAGGCTAAGATCAGACCCGTGTGCGGAGATTAAAAGAGACAGAGAGAGAAAAAGAGTATCTGCTTCGTGTCTTTTGTAGGTGATAACTGTGTAACTCCACAGTCGAAACATGAGTAGCCTATTAAAATGTACCTTAATCAAAAGAAACTCATATCCCCCCCTCATAATGTCATGTTTTTCTAAAAGGAATACAGTTGTGATCTTGTACTTATTTTCATAACTAGATGTGATCCTAGATATCTGTAGACTGCATGTTACTTTTTTTTACAGCCTCGTCATAGTTTTCCATCATGACCTGTCAGACGTGACAGCGGGGACAGTAAGAGTCTGGTATACGGCTTGTGATTCAAATAAAATGAAATGTCATAGTGGAAAAATTACTGTACATCTTTTCATGCATCTTGCATTTTTTAAAAAATAAAGTCGACCAATAAAGCTTGTCTGAATCCGTACATTCTCTCTGTGACTGAGTGACGTTCTTCATTCATTTCACTACAGTGTTGTGCAAAAGTCAGAGGCCATTTATTTATTTCTATTAAAGTAAATATAAGCTCCCCAGACAAAAAAGGAGTCACCTTTAGTGTTTAAGGTGGTAGTAACTTCAGGCTGCTGCAGAGGATAATCGGGCTATAAATACCTGCTGGGTGTGTGACAGGATTCATAGATTGAGAAAAGGTGGTACAGTACAGTGAATGTCTCGCTCAGTGTGTGGAAAATGGATCACAAAGCAGATGTTAATGATTGGTAATAAGGAGTGATTGTGTTTGGGCGCCAAAGGCCACAGTGTGAATTTGCAGGTGTATTGAAGCGTACAGTCATACGGGTCGACAAGCAGTGGCAGAAATCCCAGCCTACAGGAGATTCTAAACAGAATTGTGGCCAAAAGACAAAACTGATGGACAGGGACCACCGGTGAGTTTCACGGCTTGTGAATATGAATCGCTTCACTTCCAGGCAAGAATTACTTCTAGAAGTCAGCAGAGGTTCTTCCCAACCATTTTCTGAAAGAACCCTCCACAGGGAGCTGCATACCATGAACATATGGAGCAGAGTGGCATGCAAGAGGCCTTTGCTCACTTCTGCTCACAAAGTTGGCGAGTTACAAATGCTTTGAAACACTTCCTGTGAGTCCTGTATTCATCACTCATGTAAATACAGATAATGCAGCTAATCATCGCTGTCCAAAGAAAACCAAGTACCTCCAAAGTAGGTAAAGTACCTTTACAGTAGAGGGCAGAACATTCTTTACTTTTAATGTAAGTTGATATATAGAGATTTTATTCTAGCAATTTTTCTAGCATTTCTACTGGTCCTGGTATGACTGACCCCACAAGGCAGGTGGATACGAATGCTGAGTCTGGGATGGTATGAGATCATCACAGAACCCAACGCACAGCTCCTGAGGTGCAAAACCAAAGAAGGAGATGGAGGAAGAACTTGAGACACAAACACTGACAGGGAACTGGACAGAGGGCTGGACAAGAGCCTGAATACAACACTGTACACGCTTAAAACGGAGGATTCTTCAAGGATTCTTTAGTAAAGAAATGAACCTTGAACACTCAAAGAACCCTTTTGCATGATTAAAGTGTTCTTTGCATGGTAAAATGGTTCTTCAGATTGATAGATAATGTGCTGTATATGATTCTGTACAAGAACAAAACTGTAACAGCGAAGAACAGCATGAAGTAAATAGTAATAATAGCAGAGTTTTTCCTGTGTACTTCATTAATATGTATTCTGAATAAGTTACTTTTTTATGTATTGTAATAAAATACGTTACTGAATACATTCAAGACAGTGTGTTCAGTAGGCCTCAGTAGGCCTCCAGGACTGGGGTGGGAAACACTGCTGTAAGGGATCCAATACCGTGCCCACATGTAATAGGACTTATGTATTGTTTAACTTCTATGTCAAATTTGGAATGAGAAAATTTACATTTGTAAATACATTTTAAATAAAATAAACAGTATATAAACTAAGCAAAGATTTAATTCAGGGTCAATACAATCAGTGACAAATCTGCACACAGCTTCTTTGTGTGGGTGCAGTGCCAAAACTGGTGAAGATGAGTTTCTGGGTGTACAACACAGTTTCCTAAATTCAATAATATTTAATAATATCACTGGAAAACCATCTATGTATAATTTTATAGGACACTTCTTTTGTTTCATTTTGTCCTGTGTGTCCTGAGGTGACCCAGCAGTGACTCCAGTGACTCCGTAAGACGTTCATTCAGCCCGTTATATGGTGTGTTAAAATCATATTTTCTGTCGATTATATTGTATTTTGTAAAGCACGTTAGTACAAAATGTAGAAATACGCATGAAAAACACTTCATTTGTAAACATTTATTTTATTGTGCACCATATTTGAGGCCGTTATGGTCGTGGTCAAAGCAAAGCGCGTTAAATTCCGCGTGATTGGTTGTTAGGGTGATTGACGCGTCTCTAATCCAATCCACTTCGAGTACACGCCCTCCTCCCGCTACGTTACCAGGCTACTGCTGCTCGGCTGTTGTGCACAGACTGTTTTGCTGCTGACAGAAATGGCCACTTTATTAAGACGAGCGGCGAGGGTTTCTTTTTCTGGTACGTTCGGTCAAAATTCTTACCTTTTAATGGATTTAAATTAACTTTATTTTCATTTTTTGCGTTTCTGGATGCTTTTATACCCAAAGAGAGCAGTTTAATTAAAAAGTAGGGCGAAGGTCAGCCGAGCTCCCCTCTGAGGAGGAGGAGCAGAGTTAGGTTAACAGCGGTAGCAGATTCAGCTCTTTATAGAAGCGTTTTTAACCAAAATGTGAGGCATTTATACGATTAATTTAACAGGCAGACACACCCGGACAGCTGTGTTTACCCAGCATGAACGCTTTAAGCTGGATATCTGCCTGCAGTGTCTGTTGGGTGCATTAACTATTTTGAAGTGCCAAAATTTTGAAATACAATAATAAAATCCACAAATGCTACGAATTGAAGTCTCCAAAACATTGCAAATACAAATAATGACAGTTGATTCACATCATATATATGTGTGTGTGTGTGTGTGTATGTATGTATATATATATATATATATATCACTCTTTTGCTTCTAAAATCTTTCTTTGGCTCACGACCTTTAGCACACTTTCAGGGGGCGGGGCTTAAAGAGTGCTTTCAGGTGCACTCTCTATAGGTCTATTGGAGTGAGTAAATTTACATTTGTGAATAAATTTTGCCCAAAGTATAATCAAATCAATAATATAACACTTTCATGTTATTAGTTTTATGATGACTGAAGGTAAACAATGTATTAACCAAGCAAAGATTTAATTCAGGGTCAGTCTAATCACTGATAAACCTGCCTGCAGCTTCTTTTGGGTGCAGCGCCAAAACTGGTGCAGGAGAGTTTCTGGGTGTACAACACAGCTTGAATACAGTTTTTTAGATTGAATATTATTTAATAATATCACAGGATGACCATCTATGTATAATGTTTAGAGGCTTCCTTGGTTTCTTTTGTCCTGTGTGTCCTGAGGTGACCCAGCAGTGACTCCAGTCGATTATATTGTATTATATTGTATTTTTTCTGTCGGTTATATTGTATTTTGTAAAGCACTTTAGTATAAAATTGTAAAAATACGCATTAAAAACGCTTAATTTGTAAACATTTATTTTATTGTGCACCATATTTGAGGCCGTTATGGTCGTGGTCAAAGCAAAGCGTATTATATTCCGCGCTCATCGGTGATTGGTTGTCAGGGTGATTGACGCGTCTCTAATCCAATCCACTTCGAGTACACGCCCTCCTCCACCTACGTTACCAGGCTGCTGCTGCTCGACTGTTGTGCACAGACTGGTTTGCTGCTGACAGAAATGGCCACTTTATTAAGACGAGCGGCGAGGGTTTCTTTTTCTGGTACGTTCTGTCAAAATTCTTACTTTTTAATGGATTTAAATTAAATTTATTTTCATTTTTTTGCGTTTCTGGATGCTTTTATACCCAAAAGTGCAGTTTAATTAAAAAGTAGGGCGAAGGTCAGCCGAGCTCCCCTCTGAGGAGGAGTAACGTTAACAACGTTAGGTTAGCAGGTTCAGTTCTGCATAGAAGCGTTTTGAACGAAAATGTGCGGCATTTATACGATTAATTTAACAGATCCGCACGAACGCTTTTAGCTTTATATCTGCCCGGGGTGTCTGTCGGGTGCTTATTTTGCTAATGCAAAAAAAAACGTTTGCATTCCACCTTAAAATGTGCAGCAGTCACCTCAGGTTGCCTACTGTGGATCAGATTCTGTGCCAGAAGTTTCAAATAAAATAATAAAATTCACGCATATATATATTATTTTTATTTTTTTTATTTTTTTTATTTTCTCCTGGAACTTTCGTTTTCCTCATGACTTTTAGCACACTTTCAGGGGGCGGGGCCTAGAAGAGAGGCGTTCTCTTTATTGGTCAGCTGATTTTGAGTGACAGGTCTTCTGAGCACGTAGCCACATGGCGGAAAACGTCGTACTTTTGTTTTTATGCATCAACACATACAAACAAGTAAGAGGCAGCAGCCTTTTTAATAATAAAATAACACACATTCCAGAGGCTTAAAAACATACAGACTAGTCGTTATTCAGAGGGAGAAACTCTCTTCCACAGAACCCACTTTTCTGGTGGAACTTGTGGTGGTTGACCGTTCAGAAAAGAGTGTGTGAGCCGACCAGTATCATATATATGTGTATATATACACAGATCAGGCATAACATTATGACCACCTCGTTGTTTCTACGCTTATTGTCCATTTTATCAGCTCCACTTACTATATAGGTGCACTTTGTAGTTCTACAGTTACAGACTGTAGTCCATCTGTTTCTCTGATACTTTGTTAGCCCCCTTTTACCCTGTTCTTCAGTGGTCAGGACCCCCATGGACCCTCACAGAGCAGGTACTATTTGGGTGGTGGATCATTCTTAGCACTGCAGTAACACTGACGTGGTGGCGGTGTGTTAGTGTGTGTTGCGCTGGTATGAGTGGATCAGACACAGCAGTGCTGCTGCAGTTTTTAAACACCTCATTGTCACTGCTGGACTGAGATTAGTCCACCCACCAAAAATATCCAGCCAACAGCGTCCTGTGGGCAGCGTCCTCTGACCACTGATGAACGACTCGAGGATGACCAACGCAAACTGTGCAGCAGCAGATGAGCTATCGTCTCTGACTTTACATCTACAAGGTGGACTGACAAGGTAGGAGTGTCTAATAGAGTGGACAGTGAGTGGACACAGTGTTTAAAAACTCCAGCAGCACTGCTGTGTCTGATCCACTCGCACCAGCACAACACACACTAACACACCACCATCATGAAAATCATGCATTCACAGTTTTTCATGGTATTTTTAAAATGTAGCACTACTGGTTTTTTTTCTCAGTTCCAACTGATCAGATGTCAGAAAAAATAAATATTGTGTATCGTAAAAATTTCTTGAAGAATTGCAATATTGTATTTTTGCCATATTGCCCAGCTCTAGATGGTCATTTCTGGATCACTCCAGCTCCTCCCAAAGGTACTGGATGGAGATCCATCACTCCAGAGAGCGCAGTTCCACTGCTCCACAGCCCAATGCTGGGGGGCTTTATACCCCTCTTTCTTTTACCCACTAAGGCAATGAAGTCTTTTGAAACTTAGGAAACTTAAGTGTCTCTTCTCTCTCTAATCTCTTTCAGGGTCTCTGCTCTCTGCAGGCAGCAGACATGGCAGAGTCCACGCTTTGTCGTACTTCGGCTCCAACAACAGAAACTCATCAACCTCATCCAAAATCAAGGTGGACCTGGACAGCAGCTCTGGTATGATTTTAATAAATCTTTTGAGAAAGTGTAAAGGCCTGCTCAGCTGACCGTTCCTGACCACACAGCCTCTCTCAGCTGGTTATTTTGGTGGTGGACGGTTCTCAACCTGGCAGTCGCTGTTGCTACATTTCCGTCGACTTTCTGCACAAATTGCAAGGCTAAAAAGTGGAAATATGTTTGAATTTTTTAATATCTTTAAATGAATTTTTTTTCTGCACAGAGGCTGATTTCAGTCAAACTGACATTAAGCGATAAAAATGCTTTATGTAATGACATCATTTCATGCGAAAAACTGTTGTCATATAATATTCTGCCATTTAGAGCTGCAGATGGGCTACGGCCTGTAAGAGAGCTGAACAGTGACCGGCAACTTTTTTGACGTCTCCGAAAGTAAAAATCCCATCCGTTTTCTCCATAGACGTTTAGAAAAATCCATATATAAAGGGTTTTAAACACTCAACTGAACCGGTCAGCTACGAGATCAATTTTTACATTATAAACATCTAATCGGAGCAAAAAAAGTTTTGAAAAATGAGCAAAAAGGCAAAGATACAAGACTGTGTTGGAATGAACTACATATCCCACAAAGCACTGCAAATGGCTTCAACCAATCACTTTCACTCCTTCTGTAAGTGTGTATTCTCTTTGTGTTTTTGTGAATGTTACTGATTTCTAATGATTATACACAGCATAGTTTTGTACACATACTGTATAACGTTTGCATTTTATCAATATAGTTTTAATAATCTGTTTATTTTATCGTTGCTATCAAGTGTCAGTCACGGTACAGTGAGCCTAACTCTAACTCTGAGTTATATTAATCTTTAAACGCCCTGTCTTCTTTTTCTACTCACTGAAGTGACCCAGAGGGACGAATATAATCAATGGCTGTGTTTACATGCAAAGATTTTTGCCAATCCGAATAAATACAGTCCGATTACAGATTAAGACGAGGTGTTTATATGAACACTCTCTTCAACAGTCTGATGAAAATCTTCGTTTATATGCTCACTACAAGTAATCCGATCCAAAATTACACACATGCATAGAGAACCGCTTAATATAGACGTTACCATGACAACCAGCATCACGTGAGTCCAGTCAGAGTGAGACGAGCAGCAGTGAGCAGCACTTGTGTTTTTAATTCCTTTAAAATGACGTCAGACTCAGGAAAACCATTGCCATTCTTGCTTTAGTATGTAACAGTACACTTCGTATGGCAGCGTATTGTTGAATTGAATTATTCTCCATGATTTTTATTAATTTATTTTATTTATTATTTAAACATTTCCACTGTAACTTCTCTTCTTGGATGGCATACGATGGCCTGATCTCTGTAAAGTTCATGTTGATAATAGCTCAATATGTGCCATCTTTCTTACTAACTCTGACAAAACCAACCAGCTGCCCACCCCCGAAACCCCCCCCAACAGATTACAGTCCACTACTCAACTGGACTTTAATTTACACCCCTTCAAGTTTTCTTCTCCTCTGTATCCCCAAACAAACATGTCATATCTGACAATGTAGCTGTGCTGCTGCTCAATAATAGATGCTGCTTTGCTTTGTGCTTTTCTGGCACCAAACCACACAGATTGAATCTCCATGGTAGCAGCAACGGCTCTAATTGGTGGATCTTGCTTTAGGATGTATGGATAATGTATTTCTTTGCGAGGAACAAGGAAATAAAACGCGATGTTTAAAAAAAAAAGTTGATATCAGACTGATAAATGGCTTTAACTGGAGCAGATATCATCTCCTCACCCTCCCGTAGCTCGTAATAAGTCTGCATTGAGCAGTTTTATGGCTAAAAATACGATTCCCTTTGGCTATTATGAATTGGATTTTTTACTTCCAGAACCAGACTGTTCAGCTCTGTCATTCACCTGTGTAGTGGACGGTGTCAGGGGAGGTGTTTTAATAAAGTGGATGGTGAGCAGATCTCAGAGGGAAACCCTCTGGGAACTGGAAAAAAATGTAGGCCTGTGTTTGTAATCTTTAGTAAATTTTTATGCAGTAGAATTACGCTTGTATTTAAACTCTACAAGTATTACAGCACTGCCCTGATTTTATTAAGTTTTGGATAAAAAAAGGGGTTCAGTTCTTGAAACACCAAGTGGAAAATTGGGCAATTAAAAAGTGTTTTTCTGGTATCCAGATAGATTAAGCAGGCTCACCTATCAGTTATATATATTTTATAATATGTGTGTGTGTGTGTGTGTGGGTATGTAATCAATATTCTAACTACTGTGTACCCTGCATCTCATTTATACCAATCAGACATAACATTCTGACCACCTCCTTGTTTCTACGCTCATTGTCCATTTTATCAGCTCCACTTACTATATAGGTGCACTGGAGTTTTTAAACACCTCAGTGTTTATCGTCTCTGACTTTACATCTACAAGGTGGACTGACAAGGTAGGAGTGTCTAATAGGGTGGACAGTAAGTGGACAGTGTTTAAAAACTCCAGCAGCACTGCTGTGTCTGATCCACTTGTACCAGCGCAACACACACCAACACACCACCACCACATCAGTGTTACTGCAGTGCTGAGAATGATCCACCACCCAAATAGTACCTGCTCTGTGAGGGTCCATGGGGGTCCTGACCACTGAAGAACAGGGTAAAAGGGGGCTAACAAAGTATCAGAGAAACAGATGGACTACAGTCTGTAACTGTAGAACTACAAAGTGCACCTATATAGTAAGTGGAGCTGATAAAATGGACAATGAGTGCAGAAACAAGGAGGTGGTCAGAATGTTATGCCTGATCAGACTCACAAACTGCATGTATAAAAATGTGTACAATTGTACATATTATAGCTTGCATTTCATAACTTAATTGCTGTACAAAAACTGTACATTGGAATGGTGCCATACTGTGTGCATACATTTTTTTTCTTATATATTTTTTGTATATTTAAGTACTACAAGGAGGCTGCGCACCTAAGATGTTCACTCACCTTCACACCTGTGTACATGTGATATGACAATAAACGTGATTTGACTTATGTCTTGATTTACAATGGGACCAATTTTGTGAGGGGGGGAAAAACATCACTCTAGACCTTATGGAAGTTCTATATACGTTACTGACTGAATATGAGTGGCAGCTTAATCAGCAGGTTGTTAGAAATGGAAAACAGCAGCGGCAGCTCTACACCAGAGCTCACTACTGAAAGAGTCCCTGTGAAACTGATACGAGGTAATATATATGCTGACTTGTCTGTCAGAAGCTTCAAGTAAAACATGGAACGTCTTTTAGAAAGTTCAGATGTCTAAGTTTTATCTAGAGCTCAAATTTCAAATTTTCCGTCCCACCTTAAACAGTGCAGCAGGTACATTCTGGTGCCACTGAAGCAGCTGCATCATTTAGGTGGAACAGAATACTCAAATAAGAAGCTTCGGCCTCGTCAGAGATTATTCAGTTAGTTTATCACTAACAAACTACTAGAATACTATAGTGACGCTAGCAGAAGTTACCATTATTGTAGAGATGTTTTAACCGACAATTATGGCCCAGATTTTAGCTCTAATAGTCACAGTTTCTTTTGCTTTTGTTTTTGTGCAGGTATTGCTGTGGTGAAGTTCCAGGGTCCTCCAGTCAACAGCATGGGCGTGGACTTCCTGACTGAGATGGCCATCAGTTTAGACAAGCTTGAGCTTGACAAGAACTGCAGAGGAATTATTCTGACCTCTGTAAGTCACTAGAGGTCCAGTGCAAGTTCAACTGGCCTCCCATTGCTCTGACCAGTTTGTTATTCTTTTATAACTACTGCTGCAAGCGTGAACGAGCTTGAATGCTGGCAGAAATCTCTTTCAACCCAATGAGAAACTGTAGAGCACAAGTTTAAGCCAAGATGTATGAATTTAGAGTACATTATTAATAGATTATTATTAATTATTACTTTCAAATTATAATTGGGTAATATTTAATGTAGCTAGTGGTGTCAAAATCGTTGTTGTTTACAACAGCCAGCTTGGTAGGATGGCATTGTACACTGGAAACTCTGAGTTATGTTGCTTCTCTAAACTCCAAACTAAATTCATTGGGAATTTTTGCCTTTGCCATGGGAACGCTGTTGTGGGAAGGGCATGGATGGCCGGTTGCTTAGTGAACAAGTTCAGTCTTTAGGCCTTCAGCTGCACCCAGAACAGCAGCCTTACTGTTGATGTATTCAGGTTTAAGCATTGCAAAGGCCTGTTTTTACACTTATTTCAATGTAGGCAGTGCCAAAGATTTTCTCCGCGGGCCTGGACATCATGGACATGTACGAGAAGACCCCGGAGCACTACGAGCAGTTTTGGAGGGGTGTGCAGGACCTGTGGCTGAAACTGTACAGCTCCAGCAAGATTATGATCGCTGCCATTAACGTGAGTTTCCCCCGAGCAGTAGGTTTCTCCAAATAGAGCCGCACAGGGTGTGAATGGTGCTAAATCTGGTCAGTAGCGATAAAATTCAGTGTTATCTTTTTTTTTTTTTCCCAAATATCGCTACATCACAGAATTTGGTTAGCATTAATTAATGAAATTCTTCCTGAGTGTTGCTACTTGTGAAAAGAGCTTGTTTTGTTCTGTTTTCTTCTTGTAAAATGGCACTAACGTGTCGTCCAAAATCCAATTTTTCGGCGATTGAGCAGGGCAGATTTCTGTAGTCTGAGCAGCAAAAATCCTCATGAAAGCTGACTTTCTCCAGGCGGGTTTGAGCCAAATTTGTAGGTGCCCAGAGGAAAGAAATACTCTAAATGAGATCTCCTTTTGATCTCAGGTTCTTCTCCTAGACACAGTTAAGTCCAGTTTGAAATCAGAGTGAGACTGAAATTTGTCTCCTGAGAAATAAAACTCAGATTTTCTCACTTTGATCAAAATGTTGTCACACTTACACCGTTTCCAAAATGGTAACTTTACAGGAGAAGGAAAAAACATACATTACTTTCAATGTAAGTCAATGGAACCAGAATTTTTTCCAAGTAGTTTTTGGCCATTTATTTTGGTCAATCCTTCATGAAATTTACACACAACAAAAACTGAAAATTGACAAAAATGGATTCATATATATATATATATATATATATATATATATATATAAAATATAAAATGTGTGTGTGTGTGTGTGTGTGTGTGTGTGTGTGTGTGTATATATCCAATTCCCTGTATATATTAAATTCCTTTGTTTAAATGTGACAAACGTGATTTGACATTAAAGTGCTGTTTGAAATATTGTAATATTTTCCAATCCTCTAATATGTATCTAAGGGTGCCAGTCCTGCAGGAGGCTGTCTGATGGCTTTGACTTGTGACTACAGGATCTTGGCTGACAATCCTCGCTACAAAATAGGCCTCAATGAAGCACAACTTGGCATAGTTGCACCATTCTGGTGAGCGCTGCCCACGACTGAAATACAGCCACGTATAGGCAGATTCACCGTAATACACTGGCTGGTCTCTTCATTAGGCTCACTTCCTTGTGTCTGCACTCTTCGTCCATTTTATCAGCTCCACTGACCGTATAGGAGCACTTTATAGTTCTACAGTTACAGACTGTAGTCCGTCTGTTTGTCGACATACTTTGTCACCCTGTTCTTCAGTGGTTAAGCCCAAGGTGCGAAATTCAGGCAGTCCTGGGGGGTCCAGGACCCCCTAATTAAGCTCTTGGATCCTCTGAATGTCTTAAAGTCTAAATTCTGGCGGGACCTTGTAAATAAACTTATGACGCTGTGCTCTCTTTTATGGGAAATAGACGCTTAAATACAAATTCAGACAAAGCTCATGGTTCAGCTACTTCACCCCTTATTCTGTCTTTTTAAACATATTTATTGGACTTTACAAGTTTTACAATCAAACTATTATAATTATGGGCAATAAAACATTAAAGAGCAAACAAGTATTAAGTAAACACACATAACCGAATAACTACGTAAATAATTAAATAAGTAGGTACAAAATTAATTCATTAAAAACAACAAGTAGACTAGATACATAGCAGTTAGATAGCAGAGCATTTCAGTAGTGGGCCTAGATTATTGGCAGTTAGCAAAAAGAAGGCCTTAGGCAGTGTCCGACCTGTGAAGTACACATATGATCTCCTTCCAAAGTTAAGGGAAAGATAAACACATCATCTTCTTACAACAACTTGTTAATGCCTTTTAATATATATGTTACTTTGTCCATCGACAAACAAAAGGGCGTTTCCTTTATCAGTTGCATAAAGCAGGGCCCTTTGTTCTTTTCCAAAATAGAGCTATCAGGCGTTTTGCCTCTAGAATCCATTCATCAGTTAGCTTACGAGTGCTGCTTCCAATAAAAACATTATCAGGGAAAATACCCAGTCTTAACTAACTAGAGCTGCAGCACAGCTCTGCCTCAGGGTGGCGCTGTAGCAGACTGGTTCACCCAGTTGGGCCTTCATAGCCTAGAAACTGTAACTCTGCCACAGGATACATCTGGAAAACTTTACAACAAGTTACAACATGGGGTCCATCTATTTCGCACACTGGTCACAGGGCCGCCACAGAGCATGTATTACTTGGGTGGTGGATCATTCTCAGCTCTGCAGTGACACGGACGTGGTCGTGGTGTGTTAGTGTGTTGCGCTGGTACGAGTGGATCAGACACAGCGGTGCTGCATCGTACAGTGATTCCTAGACTAGTGCCTTGTGATGGTTCGCAGAGTTACCACTGCAACAGCCCTCAGCCAACACCATACTCCGATCTAGGAATCTGATTAAAAAATCTGATAAAGAGGCTGGATTTTAACTCAGTAATCAGATTCCTCAGTGCATGTGAACTCTTGCTCCGATTTCTATCGGACTTCTCAGTTTGCACATGTGCGAGATCAGACGGTGGATGTCGCGAGACGCAGCAAAACACTGTTGGAGCGGTTGTATGTTACGTTTATGAGTTGTATGTTACATTTACGTCACGTCGTCTTCTGTGGGTTTATTGGCTGGTTGTAAAGCAGAAATCTGATTACTGTCTGACTCATGTAGACCTGGAGTTTCCCCATTATCTCATTACTCAAGAGCATGTAAACGTGTTGATTGGATTACTGACCAAATCTGATTTTCTGCAGTTATTATATTATTGAGTGCATGTAAACACACTCACTGATGGTAACAAACCACAGCAAGACTAGAGCAGTACTTTCTAGGACGTCCTCAGACCACAGTGTCGCTTTTCAGACATCAGATGAAGCGGCTTCAAGAAAAGCACTGTTATGTCTCAGCTCTCCTACAGTTTGACATCACGTGAAAAGGCCCACGTGGTTTATTCCAGGGTTGTCAAACTCAACCACTAAAGGGCCACATTAAAAAATTTCAACAAATCCGAGGACAGTGTTTATATTTTAATACTCCAAAACGTCAACAGCAAAACGTAGGCACTTGTAGTGAACCTCCAAATATTACATGTAAATACTTACATATTTACATATATGTAAATGTAAGTAGATTTAGACTACATTAGCTACAGATAACTGTTAACCTCTTGTGCTCCAGGGTATATTTTGGTTTTGTCCATCTGGATCTACATGACCAAATCATAAGGCAAATTATTCAGTAACTGCATGAAATAAATGCAAATTTTTATTTTATTATTTATTTTGTAAAAGCTCCCCTCAAATTAACAGAACGTGTGTTATGATCATACTCATATTGCTATATGCTTACAATTTACTGCTGAAAGCCAAAAATCTTAGACGCTCTTTGTATTATTTTATAAAAATAATGTTTACAGAGCAGATCACTGAAGAGACGCCATCTGTTTATAGTTTATAGCCCAGATTTGTGGAAAAATGGGTCGACTTTCAGTAGACAGAAAAATTGCGAGTTCAGCTTCTTTTATTATAAGGGTTTAAAATTACATCACCCATCTATTTGACTGGAAAGAAGACAGTTACAGCTCTCATACGACCCCCACCTTTAGAATGTAGCTTATGAAATATGAAAGTTATGAAGAATATGAGGAAGTGCATTTTGGATCCTTCATATGATGGAGAAGCATAAGAGGCTACATCTCTTTAAACGTCCCCAGGATGTAGAGCTTTCAAACCTACCTGTGTGTTTGGTCTGAACACCTGACATCTTTTCTGCAAGTTCATTAATTTTAGGGATCAGTTTCTGAGCTGCTGAGTGTTTATAGTGTTTATGTTGGTTGAACTGAAGCTGAAACCCAGCTGGTGTGTTTGGTGGTATGATGTGCAACTGGGTAGAAAACTGCTGTCCCATAGGTTGTTGTTGGGAGTGGGGTGTCGGCGCCAATTACATTGCAGTGCATGCTGGGGTTGTAGTGCTGGTGATTTGTGAAATGGGCTAATAGAAAATCTAAATAATTTCGAGGGCCGGATTGGATCGTGCCACGGGGGTTTATGACACATGGGGTTTATTCCTTTTATAAAGAACCGTAACCATCAGTTTTATAATAAAGCACAACCACACTGCACTTACAATCTAATCTTATAGTGAAGGGTTTCATAAGATTTTCTAATAAATTTTATCGTGCTTGTTTTTCATTTCATCTCGGCACCTTAGTGATGTTAGATCTTTCCTTTGGAGTCTTTAAAAACACAGAGAGGGAACTGTTCTCTGTTCTCTGTCTCAGGTTTAAGGATTCCATGGTGAACACTGTGGGCTACAGAATAACGGAGGAGTCCATTCAGTTTGGCGTGATGTACAGCCCCGCCGACGCCCTGAAGATCGGCCTGGTGGACCAGGTGGTCCCCGAGGATAAAGTTTTCAGCACAGCCACAGAGACTATGGAGAAGTGGTTTGACATCCCAGGTCAGACTAGTCCTTAGCTCTGCGTTTGATGATTGACAGGATGCTGAAAGCCAAATTATTATTGTTGACAGTGTTGTGATGCATTATGTCCACAGATCACGCCCGGCAGATAAGCAAGTCTATGATGAGGAAGCCTACAATAGACAGAATGCTGGCCAACAGAGAAGATGACATTAAAAACTTTGTCGGTTTCATCTCCAAGGACTCAATCCAGAAGTCTCTCGGGATGTACATGGCCATGCTGAAGATGAAGAAGGGTTAAGGACTGAATGCCGTCGGTTTCAGTTGCCCTCAGTGTTGGGTTATGTTTTGTTGGATTATGTGTTTTTTGTGCCTTGGGCTTTTTTCTGGCATCTGTGTCAATTTTTGAATTAAACTTGACTTGAAATAATCCTGCATATAGTCTGCCTAGTGGCAGTGAAACTGGCTTTAATTCAGTATGATTATAATTCATTAAATCTCTAATTCCATTGTGAAAATACACCAAGTATTTACACAGTAGGTCAATAAAGACAATAACAGCAATTTATCAAACTTTTTCACATTTAAATAATCAGAAAATGTTATTTTAGAACAAAAAAGGTGCAAACATGATTGTTTAGATAAAACTGTTAAGCATACACAACGCCTACATAAGCCTTTCATGACAATTGACATAAACCTATGTAAATTCCAAACAAGCGTCAGTTCATCTGACAGTTTCTGAGGCGAAGTGGACAAAAGCAGCCTTTTCAGTGGTCACTGCTGGAGTCTTCATAAAGTTTGTCAGTTGTTATTAAAGGCTTATGCAGGTATGATGTAGCCTTACAAATGCTGCCCTTCAGTAAAGTGTTACTGAATGTTGTTATAATGCACTATAAACTGTTATAATGTTCCAAATTCAATGTAGCTGAATCGCCGCCTTCACATGTGCTTTAACCCTCCTATTATCTTTGGGGTCAGTTTGACGCCATTCACTGTTCAGCGTCTCTAAATAAATGACTTTTTTGCTTCATATTTATGGACTTTTCTTAATTTACTGGGGAGAATTGGGTAAAAATGAAATTAACATGGTATTTTTTTTTCAATTTCCTGCACACGTTTTGTACGCATCGGTGTTCTTTGAGCCCAGGCTGTTTTAGTTGTATAAAATATGAAAAAATCAACATTTTACACACATCAGTTTTGGTTGTTTTGGATGATATTGAGGTCACTATAATGTGCAACTTTATAGTTAACTTTAAGTTAAATTTCTGCTTTAGGGCCCAAACATAACCACACCTGTAGAACCACTGAGTGTGTTTACATACACTTCATAATCTGAGAACTGCAGAAAATTAGATTTTGTCAGTAATCCGATCGTGTTTACATACACTTGGGTAATCAGATAATGGGGAAACTCCGGGTCTACATGAGTCAGACAGTAATCAGATTTCTGCTTTGCAACCGACCAATAAACTCACAGAGGAATACGTGACAAACTTAATGTAAAATTCATGCTGCGGCTTTTTTTTTAAACATTGCGCCTCTTTACCTGAAAATGAACGTTCATCATCCAGAAGATGAAGAATATTTAAATCCTTCATTTCATCAAGCATGTATTTGGTTTCAGCATCGCTCAAAAAGTGTTTTACTGCGTCTCGCGGCGACGCTGCTCGCTTATTTCCGGTACTACAGTCTGTTTTGCACATGCTCAGACTGAGAAATCCGAAAGAAATCAGAGTAAGAGTTCACAGCACTGAGAAATCTGATTACTGAGCTACAATCCAGCCTCTTTATCAGATTTCTAGATATTACTCTGATCTAAGAAATCAGAGTGTGCTGTTTGCATGACCATTTGAATAATCGGATAACTTCAGAAATCAGATTATGATCAGATTATCGAGTGCATGTGAACAAACTCACCGATAGTTCACACCACACTGGGGAGGGGAAACACAAATCCCACCAGAGGTTTAAATTGCTGTGGTCAAGCTGACCCCAAGGATAAAAGGAGGGTTAACACATCTTATATGTGGCTCTTCCAGAAAATGGTTCTATATAGAACCATGAACACTCAAAGAACAGTTTGCATGATTAAATGGTTCTCTGCGTCATGAAAGGGTTCTACAGATCAATGGAGAATGTGCTGGAGATTATATAGAACCTTGTTGAAAATGGTGCTATATAGCACCAAAAAGGGTTCTATTATAACAAGCTTGACCTCATACCTTTTTGGTGCTATATAGAACCATCTACAGCCTCCATCAATCTGAAGAACCATTTCATTATGCAAAGAACCATTTAATCATGCAAAGGGTTCTTTGAGTGTTCCTGGTTATATATAGGACCATTTTCTTTAGTAAAGAACCCTTGAAGAACCATCTGTTTTTAACAGTGTAAGCATGAGGATCATGTTTGCTGATCCATTATGTTGCTCCGAAGTCACTGTGTTGCTCAGCTACAGAGAGACGGCTGATTAATTTGATGATTGAACAGGAGTCAACATTTAACCCTTGAGTGGTGGTGGTGTGTTTGTTACTCAGTGGTCTGCTGGACCCACCACATTATTGTTTATTTAAATCAATACAGCCATAACAGTTTATGTAAAAATACCAGATGTTTAAAATATCACAAGTGTCCAGCGTAGGGTTCTCCTTTAGCAGCTGTAGCCAGTCAGCAGCCTGTCCATGTTGTCCATCCTCACACATACACACACACTAACAGCAGGCCACGTAGGAGGAGAACAGAGTGAAGGACACAGCACCTCCACACTTTTACTCCCCGCAGGTTCAGCCCAACACCACATGTGTAGTATAAATGTGTGGGGGGTGAACAGAGTGAAGACACTGAAAATGGGGTATTTTATATGATCTTCACAGAAAATGATCAAAGACCAAGAATCTGAGGTTGAACTAATAATAAATCACAACATTTTTTCTTTTGGTAAACATCGAAAATGGGGCCCACAGACCTGAACACCACACAAGGGTTAAAGGAATACTTGGTTGTTTTTCAGCTCAATTGTTTACTTCTTCATCTATATTGTACATTTAGTTACCACAGACAATATTTCTGATATTTTTCTCTGTTTTTAGCAAAGGAAGAACACAAACTTAGAGTAGAGGTCATTGGGCAGATGCTGAAACGTACGATTCCAGTGTGGCAGGTTAGATTGACAAATCCTGGAATATTCCCTTAAAATGACCAACTACCACATTCTAACTGTTCTCCTTATCTTTATTGACTTTAAAGGGTACTCTGACTGTTAAGACCTGTATGCCTTAATATAGTGTACATGTCTAATACTAAATATGATGAAAATATGATCAATCAAATTGAAAGCTTACCGCTGCTGTCAGAGCAAAACCTTGTATTTCTGTTTTTGCCATTTTTCAGTTTTTGACATAATTCAAAAATGCCTGTTGTCCTTTACGTTTTGTGTAAATCTGATGCATTTTAATGTAATCTTACAGTTTTAATCTTAATGATGATGAAGGGACCATAAGAAATGGCCCAAAATTACTTGATTTTGGGCCATTTGAGCTCCATTGAATTACACTCAAAGTAAAGTGTGCTATTACCTTAAAGTTCTCATTTTGGAGATTTGAGGTTTTGTTCCGACAGCAGTGATATAAACACCGATCAGGCATAACATTTTGACCACCTCCTTGTTTCTACGCTCATTGTCCATTTTATCAGCTCCACTTACTATATAGGTGCACTTTGTAGTTCTACAGTTACAGACTGTAGTCCATCTGTTTCTCTGATACTTTGTTAGCCCCCTTTTACCCTGTTCTTCAGTGGTCAGGACCCCCATGGACCCTCACAGAGCAGGTACTATTTGGGTGGTGGATCATTCTCAGCACTGCAGTGACACTGATGTGGTGGTGGTGTGTTAGTGTGTGTTGTGCTGGTGCGAGTGGATCAGACACAGCAGTGCTGCTGGAGAGGAACAAGGAGGTAGTCATAATGTTATGCCTGATTGGTATATGTATGATACAAAATATGACAAACAGGCAAAATCCCTCTACTAGTAGGTCACCAGTCACACTGTGGTGTCGTGTGGTTGTGCTGATTTATTTATTTTTTTTTTAATGGAGAATAAAATCAACATTTAAGGCATTACAAAACACGTTGACAATGATCAGTTGTACCAAGCAACGCAAAACAAAACAAATAAAATTTTCTAAGTGAAAGTAATATATCATTAGGGGTCTTAAAAAAACAACATTTTTGAAGCAAAACTGTTAAAAGTTTATGCATCCTTATGCATCATTTCCATTAAAGCAGGCGTGTCAAACTGGGGACCTTCCAGGCCAAAGTGCTGCAGAGCTCAGCGTTCACCCTCATCTAAAGCTCTGAACTCAGTTCATAAAGGCTTTGCTGATTAGCTGATGAGCTGAATCAGGTGTGTTTAATGAGGCAGCGTGATGAAGTCTGCAGAGTTCTGGCCTGTGAGGACTGGAGCCTGACACACACTCTGAAAAAAGATGGTTTTTCAAGGGTTCTTTAGTAAAGAAAATGGTTCTATATAGAACCATGAACACTCAAAGAACCCTTTGCATGATTAAAGGGTTTTTTGCATCATGAAAGGGTTCTTCGGATTGATGGAAAATGTTCATGAATATGCTATAGATGGTTCTATATAGCACCCAAAAGGGGTCTTCTATTGTTAAGAGCTTGACGCCATACATTGTCAAAAACATTCTATATAGAACCATCTACAGCACATTCTCCATCAATCTGAAGAACCATTTCATGACGCAACAGTACCCTTTAATCATGCAAAGGGTTCTTTGAGTGTTCATGATTCTATATAGAACCATTTTCTTTACTAAAGAACCATCTTTTGTAAGAGTGCATGTGCTTCAGAGGGAGCACATACAAAGACAATTCTATTTTGAAAACGTTAAAAAATTTTGGTTGTGCTGTCATATATTCACATTTATGAATATAATATTTACCTAAAATAATGGCAACATTAACAGATCCATACTGCTGTCATCCAGTATCATCCCAAGCATTACGTCATTTATTGAAAAGGTGTTTGCACGGATTTCAGTCCTACTGAAAATAAGAATAAAAAAAATATGTAAGTGTGTAACAGAAAAATAACGCTCTAGCTAAAGTTGGAAAGCTTGAATGATATATTTGATTTAAATCAGATATTTAGCTCAGTGTTCTTCGCTCAGTGGACGAGAGAAATAGCAGCTATTTTATGCCACAACAAAAATGGCAGTTTAGAAGTAAAAGGATTGAAAGTATTTTTGGACTTGAACACCACACTGAGGCTTACATGTCTCAACAGTCAGGATACCTGACTCCTCGTGTGCTGACGAAGCAGCTTATTTGAGCTGGACCTCAACGGGGAAGTGATCGCTGACCGCCAGAGCCTGGGAGACACAAATCGGCGTCATTTAAAGGAAAGCAAAATGTCAAATTTACACGTTTTTCACTCAGCCCAGATGAAGTCGATCAGCCAGGGCATGTTTGCTGTCCAGATTTTGCATTTTCATTTAGTTTACCGCTGGAGCTGCGAGGCTAATATTGCAAGCAAACACTACAAGTCAATAGTCACCCAAATTTTCTCTGAACCTGCTCAGACGTTTCCCTCATTGAGGTCACACAGGCTGTCTATGTGGTTTGGTGCACAGATATGAATCACTGTGAGTTATAAAAATAAACTTCACTGTACAGCAGGCAGTCATTAGCAGATGTTGTGCCGAATACTGACTGCATACAAAGCTGACTCACTTTCACATTTATGTGTGAACATGTGGACTCTGGATTATGTTCACAATGTTTTTCAATTAACAGTTTCTAAATAGAAACAACAGAAATACAGTCTGGGGTCCATATGTTCGCATTACACATACATGTGAAAGTGAATCAGATTCTGTTCCCGGTCGGTATTCGGCACAACACCTGCTAATGGCTGCCAGCAACGTTCAGCTATACAAGTTTTTTTTTTATAATTCACAGTGATTCATAACTGTGCACCAAACCACATAAACAAGTCTGCGCTACCTTAATGGGGCAGTTGTGGGCTGGAGGTTAGGGAACCAGCCTTGTGACCGGAAGGTCGCCGCTTCGATCCCCTGAGCTGACAGTACGTGACTGAAGTGTCCTTGAGCAAGACGCCTAACCCCCAACTGCTCCCCGGGTGCTGCGGATAGGGCTGCCCACCGCTCCAGGCATGTGTGCTCACTGCCCCCTAGTGTGTGTGTTCACTAGTGTGTATGCGGTGTTTCACTGCACAGATGGGTTAAATGTGGAGGTGAAATTTCCCCGTTGTGGGACTAATAAGGGTCACCTAATGAGGGCCTGGATGCGATTTGATTCACTTTCACATTTATGCGAATATGGATTCTATATGTTCACAATGTTTCTCAAAATGGACAGTTAATAGATGGGAACAACAGAAATGCAGGCCGTGGTGACTATGAATGTGTTTACGTCAATAATCCGATCATAATCAGATTTCTGCAGTTATCTGATTATTCAAAAAGTCATATAATAACAGCTCACTCTGATTTCTTAGACCAGAGTAAGGTCTAGAAATCTGATTAAGAAGTCTGATAAAGAGGCTGGATTTCAGCCCAGTAATCAGATTTCTCAGTGCACGTGAACTCTTACTCTGATTTCTTTCGGATTTCTCAGTCTGAGCATGTGCGAAAACAGAAATAAGTGAGCACCGGAAATAAGTGAGCAGTGGAGCGACGCAGAAACATTCTTGACAAAATTAAGGATTTAAAGCTTTTAGATGATGTTTGTTCATATTTTCAGGTAAAGTGGTGCCGCTGTATGAAGTTTGAGTTTTATGTTACGTTTACGTCACGTCTTCCTCTGTGGGCTTATTGGCTGGTTGTAAAGCAGAAATCTGATTACTGTCTGACTCATGTAGACCTGGAGTTTCCCCATTATGTGATTACTCAAGAGCATGTAAACTTGTTGATCGGTTTACTGCAGTTAATCTCATTTTCTGCAGTTATCAGATTATTAAATGCATGTAAACACACTCTATATGCCTGAGTTACATCAATGGGAGTCAAAATTGGGCAAGACACTTGTCTAAACTTGTAGCCCACAGAATTCAGCTACACTGTGAAGTTTTATCTGTTTATAGCTCTCAGTTTCCTTAACCACAGTGACAGTCTGTAAGGCCTTAATGAAGACCTGGATGTGGTTTGAGAAGGTTGAGAGATGTTTTGAGGATGTATGTACAAAACATATTTGGGTGACTATTGACTTCTGGTGTTTTGGTAGTAATGTTAGGTTTGTAGCTCCGGTTTTAAAACTAAAGAAGTAAAACGACGAACATGTCTGATTAGCTGCATCTGGGATGAGTGGAAAAAATTTCTTTAACACTTTCCGTGTATTAAGCCTGTGGTTATTATTCTCAGTGCCTTACCCAGCTGTGGCTGAGTCCCAGGTCGGCCATAAAGTCATAGACTTGTGCCGTGTCGGGAAGGACACCTCTCATCATGTCTTCAGTGGATACAATCCTACAAAAAACAACATATTTCAATGGGAGGAAGTGATTCAAGGGAAAACCCACATCACCGCAGTTTGACTTCATCTCCTCATCGTGACATGAAGGTTTACAATTAAATTGTATTTCAATTATCACACTTTTTATAGAGTTTTATCAGACTTTGCAGTGTCTCTGTCTGTCTGCTGTCGGGTTGCACAATACATCATTTATTAATCAATATCGCGATGTTGGCCTTTGCGATACTGATACTGTAGGAATGCTATTAAGCCCTCTAACCAATCACAATTTAATTTAAATACTGAAACACTGCAATTTCCCTTCAGGATCAATAAATCTATCTATCTATCTATCTATCTATCTATCTATCTATCTATCTATCTATCTATCTACCTAACCATAACCATTAAAGGGTTCTTTGCATCATGAAAGTGTTCTTCAGATTGATTGATGGTTCTATATAGCACCAAAAAGTGTTCTATTGTTACGATGTCAGGCTTGTTACAATAGAAGAACCCTTTTCAAAAAGGGTCTGTTTAGAGCCATCTACAGCACATTCTCCATCAATCTGAAGAACACTTTCACGATGCAAAGAACCTTTTAATCATGAAAATGGTTCTTCAGGTGTTTATAGCTATATAGAACCATTTTCTTTACTAAAGAACCCTTAAAGAACCATCATTTTAAGTGTGCATGAAATGGTTCTGTTTACACTCCTAAAGATGATTCATCAAGCGTTCTTTAGTAAAGACAGTTGTCTTATATAGAAGAACGAACACTCAAAGAACCATTTACCATGCTTAAAGGGTTCTGTGCATAGTGAAATCGTTCTTCAGATTGATGGAGAATGTGTTGCATATGGTAGTACCTTTTTGAGAAGGGTTCTTTATAGCACCAAAAAGCGGTTCTGCTTTTGTTATGATGTCAAGCTTATAACAACGGAAGAACCCTTTTTGGTGCTAGGTAGGACCATATACCACACATTCTTCATCAGTCTGAAGAACGATTTCACCATGCAAGAAACTATTAAGCATGCAAGGTTCTATAAAGATTATTTATAAATATAATTTAAAATAGAACCTTTGCATTTGCTAAAGAACCCTTGGAGAACCTTCTTGTACTTCTGACCTGACGTTGGTTGTTTTACAGTGAACTGCAGTGCTGGGCTGGCTCTTGCCTGTCGTAGGGGCAGGTTGTGTGCGTGACAGTCGTGTCCGCAGTGTCGGGGATTAACCAGTGGTACGACTGGTCGGTGTACAGTCGAATGTTTGGCCAGTCTTTGGCTTTAATGTAGGTGCAGCCAGCGTTGAAGTCCCCCAGCAGCAAAATGTCCTGAAACATAGTTAGAAACGAATTGTTTTTAAGCATCTGTGCCACCAGTGAGCCCTCAGGTCGCATCCCTCAGTGCAGCGTTATTACATTGGTGCTCCAGAGCTGCCTGGTGTAGACGACCACATCGTGCAGCGCGTCCACCTCATCCACTGCGAAGTCCGGTGACGTGTGCTGAGGGATGAGGACGAAGTTCTGCACAACTGGAAGAAAGAAATGGTTCTTCAGATTCACGGAGGATGTGTTGTATATGGTTCTATTTTGAAAAGGGTTCTATATAGCCCCAAGAAGTGTTCTTCTATTGTGATAAGCCTGACATCGTAACAATAGCAGAACCCTTTTTGATGCTATAAAGATCCATATACAACACATTCTCCACCAGAGCACCATTTAATCATGCAAATAGATGCTATATGGAACCATTGTCTTTACCAAAGAACCCTTGAAGAACCATCTTTAATAAGAGCGTAATTACTTTTACAGATGGCACACAAGCTCAAATATATGTTAATGTGTGTTAGTGTCAAATGAAATGTCTTTTATAATCACGTTTGTGTTTAATCTAGAATGATCTAGTATGAATCACTGTTAGCTTAGTGCTAACGTACTACTGTAGTCCTGTAGGTGTGCTAGCAGGAATCAGCTTCATCACAGAGGTGGGTTTTTTCTCGTTTTTTGACCGAGTTGTGACATTTATGGCCTGAACTGAAGGCCTAGCTCTAATAGTCATAGTTCACCACTATTATTATTATTATTATTATTAATCATTACTTTTATAGCACCTTTCAGTTGCGGTATAAAATCTCACATTGCTTTATGGTTGAAAATAAGCCAAACTTTGTAAAGATAAAACATTATTATTATTACTATTATAATAAGAAAAATCACAACAACCTGTATGCCAACCTGAGAAATTAGAAGAGAACATCACCACAAACGGCTCTCGCATGAATGTATCTGTTCCGCATGGTTCACATCCATCGTCATAGGTGAAGTTCTTAACGACTGACACCGTCTCGTGCCTAATGAGCAGAAAGACAAAGAGGACATAGGGTGCTACCATTAATATAACATTAAAGGGCCCTTATTCTTCCTGACAATTTTCCAACCTTTCCTTATTCCTCTAATGAGTAAACAGGTTGTTTTTGTAACTGTCCCTTTAAGACTGATATATGTAAATGAGCTCTGGTTTGATTGGCTTGGCCTCATTCAAAAAGCACTCTGGGCTGAAACACCCCTTATAACTTCAACGGGAATGAGTGAGGCTAAACTGCTGTAGACTAAATAGGCATATATATATATATATCTATATATATATATATATATATATATATATATATATATATATATATATATATATATATAACTAGCAATTTTAACAATAATAAATAATAATTTAACTACAATAATCTATACATGACTATGGAATATATGAATTAAATGACATAAAGAAAACAAATGCCAAATAAATATTATATAATGAAAATTAAATATATAATGAAAGTTGTGCTCCCCAGGAGTCGTGTCACTGGTGTAACTGCATAACAAAAAAATCTCTTATTTTGAAATAAAAGTCACACTGATGACATAACTCGACTTCCTTTTACCTGTTTTCTGAGGATCTGTGAAGAAAAGCACATGGTGAGTCCACTGTGTCTTTCAGTTATCAGAGATTTTCTCATTTAGCTCATGATTTCATACGAAGCTTTTAGCTGAAGTCACTGGTGTGACCTGCTTTATTCTGAGGTAATTGTAAAAAAAATAGAATACAAATGGATTAAATTCCATATTTTAGTAGATATTCCATGATTGACGACATGTGGTTTGATGCTCCGTAGCAGCCATTTTAAAAATGTCTCTGGTGTCACCTGTATTATGTGTAACACCAATGAGGGTCAGTAACACCAGTGACTCCTATGGAGAGATAGAACAGTGGACGTTTCTAATTGTTTTTCCATTATATGGGCCCTTTTAAGGACAGTAACAGATCAGTAAATAACTGAGGAAAAGTCAGTACCTGTAGATGAACAGATATCTCTCTTTGTAGGTGGTCCTCCCCAGCGGTTCACTCACGATATGCCCATAAGTGTACGGAGAGGCCCCCCTGAGCAGGAGGAGAGGAAGAGTTAACCCGCTGCCTCTCTACTTTCTCTCACTGCAGCTCGTTTGCTTTCAGACTCACTTGTTCACCTGCTGCATCAGCCTGTCAGTTGCGGACAGGTCACTGTCTCTGACCTCCTGGATGAGGACAACGTCGTACCGATGCACGATCTACCCAAACACAGCATGCTTTAATAGGAACTCGGGGCAGTGTTTATGGATGAGGTATGTTTGTGTTTCACTCACTGTGCTGATGATGTCCAGCAGTGTGGCATTGGATGCTTTTTTGTTGCCAAACGTCTGGACGTTAAAAGCGCCAATCAGTAAGGAGCTGCCCAGATGCACGAACAGTAAGATCAGCCCAACAGTGACTGCAGTCTTCATCCTACATGCACATACAGAGACACACACACGCACACACACACACACACACACACACACACACACACTCCATTTTATCAGCTCCACTTACTATATAGGTGCACTTTGTAGTTCTACAGTTACAGACTGTAGTCCATCTGTTTCTCTGATACTTTGTTAGCCCCCTTTTACCCTGTTCTTCAGTGGTCAGGACCCCCATGGACCCTCACAGAGCAGGTACTATTTGGGTGGTGGATCATTCTCAGCACTGCAGTAACACTGACTTGGTGGTGGTGTGTTAGTGTGTGTTGTGCTGGTCTGAGTGGATCAGACACAGCAGTGCTGCTGGAGTTTTTAAACACTGTCCACTCACTGTCCACTCTATTATATACTCCTACTTTGTCAGTCCACCTTGTAGATGTAAAGTCAGAGACGATAGCTCCTGTCCACTGAAGAACAGGGTAAAAGGGGGCTAACAAAGTATCAGAGAAACAGATGGACTACAGTCTGTAACTGTAGAACTACAAAGTGCTCCTATATAGTAAGCGGAGCTGATAAAATGGACAATGAGCGTAGAAACAAGGAGGTGGTCATAATGTTATGCCTGATCAGTGTGTATATATATATATATATATATACACACACACACACACATATATGTCAGGTTGTTTGTATATGGAGTGACATCCATTCGTCATTACAGGATGCATACTATATATATAAATTTATATGTGCATAAATAATAAATTTATAAATGTAAATCACTGCTGTTGGAACAAAACCTTCCAATCTCCAAAATGTAACTTTACAGGAGAAGGAAAAACATTCTTAACTTTTAATGGTACTAAATGGAGAAATATTTTTTTCCAAGTTATCATGAGATAGAAGGTTTTGCCCTGACAGCAACAATATATCATTTATATATATATATATATATATAAACCACCCTTTAGTATTTAATTTCCAGTCAAAACGGCCCTTAAGTACAAGTTACTCATTTTTCAGGAGATATTTCTGAGTCTGTTAGGTATAAGATAATCCACCTGTATAAGAAAGAAGGGAGTCAAGGTGAAAATAACTGAAAAACAAGTGAAAAGAGAAAATGGGACTCCGAACAACCACCTGCAGGACCTGGTAGACACCAAAGAAAAGGATACAGACAAAATTTGAACACTGAAACTGGACACCTGAGAAGTGGAGTAATGTTTTATGGACACAAATTTGTGGTTTGGATTGCTTTGGATAGTGAGGAGCAGAAAGTTCAACCAACTTATAAGACTGAACTTTGGTGGTGTGGCTCCTGAAGAGAATGGATGCTGTAATAAGGATAAAGAATGGACACACTAAATACTGAAATGTGATATTACATTAACTTATTGAGGCTTCTGTACTGAAAAATTAATAGCTTGTAATTAAATAAATAAACAGTGGACACTGGGAGGAAAAAAACGATAAAAATGGAGAAATGGAGATACAAAGTTTTGTTCTGACATATTATATTATATTATATTATATTATATTATATCGTCCATTTTCTGAGATTGTATTTTGAGAATGAGTCCATGTGGGAACGCTATAAGAACAGTACCTGCTATTGAGTTCAGCTCCGTCTCGTCTCAATTTGCGTCTCTCCGACAGAAAAAGCCCAGAAGCACAGAAAAGCCCTTTTAAAGCTGCCACCTTTAGCCCAGCGCTCTACAGCAGTGTCACATTCTCTTAGGGGTTTTTATGTACAGGCTGCGTGGGAATGCTGCGCTCTCCGGCAGGTGTTACTGCAGACAGAGAGGACTGTGTGCATGTGATGAATCAGTGGTACATTTAACACTAGATTTTTACATTTCTTAACATGTAAGAGAACTGGACTAGAACTGGACTAGAACTGTCGGTTTTCTGGACATGGATCAGTCCTTTAAACCTAGTTTCCTAAATGGCAGTGTAGTTCAGTCCACAACCAGACTGGAAAAGCAATTTGAGATGATTTAAACCATTTTTCGGCTAAAAGATGATACTAGATATTGGAATAAATAAAACAGCACAGTTTTAACCCAATGAGAGTTAAAGAAATAGTCCAATATTATTTCAATATGATCTCTGTATACAGTGCATACAGCATAATTTCGATCATTTTAATACGACAATCTTCGCTTGGAAAAGAAAACAAAGCACTCTTATAATAGAACCCAGTGGGCACTTGCCTCTTAAAGGTGAATTCTGCCAATTCTCCAAAATTTATGCATAACTAAATGGCTAAACAAAGTCATTCAGAGTGGTTTCATGTTAAATGCTCCATTCTTGAGGATTGTTTACATTGGTGGTGATAGGAGCCAGACATCTGAAGAGTTTAACGCCTCTAAAAGCTTCCTCACAGAAAGTTATGCAGGGTTTCGTACGAATAAATAGTCCCCAACAAAACGTTTTGAAGACCTCACGACCCCTGGTTCCTATCACCACCACTGTAAAGAGTCCAAATCATTCTGAATGACTCTGTTTACGTCTCTAACACTCAATTACGCAGAAAAACCTGCACAATTCCTCTTTACATTACTGTTCATGGTAATCGACCATATGCTGCACATGTGGCAGATGGTGATTAGGTTGAAAAGCACTGGAGTATTCATTTAACTAATAACAAGGTAATCTACACCGTTGTTGTTTTGACATTGAATCCTATTTTACATCCTTATCAGATGTGTTTCTCCCTCAGATATCAGTACAACATTGAATAAGAGCCAGTCAGTTTCATTCGGAAGCAGGTGTTTTGTTCACCAGACCTACTAACACAAGTTATTTCTGTACTTTTTTCCATTTCACTTTATTTGGCGTCCACCGTGTTTTCTGAGCGCTGACCACGTCCAGCTCACATTCACCACTCCTGGCTAAGGTTCTCCCGCCGGCTCTCCTGTGCAGTTCCAATAAGTCTCTGCTGATTCCTGCTGAAAGAAATGTTAGTGGTGACCTTATATGGCATGTTGGCTCTTTAGATACAGTGATGACTCTAGTAAATTTAGGTCGATTTCAAATGTAGAAACTAATGGATTTTATAGAATGATTGGCCATTTTAGGATTATGAACCTCAAGCTCTGTAGTTTGATAATGTGCTGCAGTGAGAACTTTTGATAATAATAATTAGAGCTGGGCGATATGGCAAAAATATAATATTGTGATATTTCAATACGTTTTATGATACACTACACAATATTTATTTTTTCAGACATCTGATGGAACAGAGAAAAAAAGAATCGGTAGTGCCACATATTAAAAAATACTATCAAAAACAGTGAACACAATGATTTTTATCCAAATATTTGGCACTAAAGCCAGTTAAACTGGGCTAAATTTGCACTCTTTAGAATAAACCGTGCAGTTGGTCAGTGTCTACAAGTAGTGAAGACATCCATGGTATGTTCAGAAAAGCATAATGTATTGTGGGGCATAATTTATCACAATAATGATATGTATTGTCTTATTGCCCAGCCCTAATTCTAATACTACTACTATTACTATTACTGCTACTACTACTAATAATAATAACTAGAAAAGTGCCTTTCCTGAAGAAAAAGTGATTGTGAAGCGTAAACAGTTCCCAGGTGGTTGCTAGGGTGTTGCCGAGTGGTTACGGTGTTATTTTAGATGATTGGTGTGGTATAGTAACACATGTAGGGGATGTGTGAAGTGATTTTCACATAGAAAATCAACAAAACATGCAATTTGAACACAGGTACCCACACTTTTGCAAGCCACTGCAACCATTGCATATTCAAAACTTCAAACCAGATCTAAGCACTTGATTCATTCTGATTAACCAGCTTGAATGATTCAATATGAGCAGCACGAACTGTACACATGAATGCACTTTTGAAAAAGTTTGTTTTTATGCTGACAAGAACTTTTACCCTCAGCTGTTCATCACTCTGCACATCTGTGGTGAGAAGATATGACAGTAAAGCTGACTTTGACTTTGAGGTCATGGAGGTAAGAACTGCTTTATAGGACAAGATAAATGATTTTATGTGAATATATGCAAAAAGGGAGCCAGTGTTTGTTTGAAAAGCACAGGAGCACTGTGCTGCTGCAATGAGGCGAGAACCTGGGGCCACTCGCACCAGCTGTACATAAGTTCAAATGTAGGCCAGTTTATTATTATTATTTAATTATTAAATATTATTGTTAAATTATTATTATTGATTATTATTAGTATGGGCGGCACGGTGGCGCAGTGGGTAGCGCTGTCGCCTCACAGCAAGAATGGCCTGGGTTCGTTTCCCGGCCGAGCGACCAGGGTCATTTCTGTGTGGAGTCTCCTGTTCTCCCCGTGTCTGTGTGGGTTTCCTCCCACAGTCCAAAGACATGCAGTCAGGCCAATTGGACATGCTGAATTGCCCCTAGGTGTGAGTGTGTATGTCTGTCTGCCCTGCGATGGACTGGCGACCTGTCCAGGGTGTATCCTGCCTATCGCCCAATGACAGCTGGGATAGGCTCCAGCACCCCACCGTGACCCAGAAGAATAAGTGGTTTAGATGATGTATGTATGTATTATTAGTATTTATTAATTTCATCTTCACACGTTACTACATCAAAACAGGTCACGCCACACTAAATATTTACAATAAGTGCAGCACGGTGGCACAGTGGGTAGCGCTGTCACCTCACAGCAAGAAGGGTCTGGGTTCGATTCCCGGCCAGGTGACCAGGGTCCTTTCCGTGTGGAGTTTGCATGTTCTCCCTGTGCCTGTGTGGGTTTCCTCCAAAGTCCAAAGACATGTCAGGCCAATTGGAGATGCTAAATTACTCTTTTTGTGTGTGAAAATGAATGAATGTATAAGTCTTTCTGCCCTGCGACAGACTGGCGACCTGTCCAGGGTGTTTCCTGCCTTCTGCCCGGTGACTGCTGGAATGGGCTCCAATTCCCACCGCAACCCAGAAGGATAAGTGGCTTAGAAAGTGTGTGTATTTACAATAATAAAACACTTTAGTCAAAGCAGGTATAAATGTTTGTAAAAACCAACAGAAAACACAAAAAAACACCAAAAACAAGATTTTTTTTGATAAACTAAGCCAAAAACACCAAAAGCTGTGTGAACGTCTAAACTGATGCTGCTGTTGTGTCAGTTAGACACAAAAAGTCGCTTAAACAAGCTGCATATTTGGTCGTCGCAAGGAAATATTAAAGAATAAACAGATGGTGGCTCCAAGGAATAGTTGAAGAAGCGTCAATCAAAATGTCTTTATATTTTTTTGACAATTAGTAGGAGTGGATGTGGTGCACATCAGATTAGACATAGTACTAGTGTAAATTTAGGTGTTATCTGTGCAGCGGTGAAAGCCAAATTATCAAAACCATAGTTTCTGACTAATGCGACTCAGTGGCACCATCTAGGTGCTAGAACAGGACAGGCCTTAGGACAGAGCCCTGGGGAACACCTAGTTGTATGCCAACAGATGGACCTTTTACATCCCATAAGGAAAAACTAAGAAAGGTCAGAGAGGTTACACTAAAACAAGTTTTGGGGATTACTAGATATTGCCTAGGTCTGACCGAGTAGGAGGGTGTTGCCATATCAAAAGCAGCACTGTTTTTTAAAATTCAGACAACGCAAGAATGTTAGAGGTACCAGAGTCAGTTAACCGGGGTAGTTTTAGAGTTATGACCACCTCAGAAACCAAACTGGCTTAAATAAATTACATAGAAAGAGATGGTTTTGTGCCCCGTGATGGACTGGAAGCCTGTCCAGGGTGTTTACTGCCTTCTGCCCAATGACTGCTGGGATAGTTTCCAGCACCCCTGCGACCCAGGAGGATAAGTGGCATAGATAAGGTGTGTGTGAGATGGTTTTGTTGTTAATGATTTCAAAACCGTGTTTTCTGAGGTGTGCTGATAAAGTCCGGCACACATTAACTGCAGCTCCAGTCTTGGCCCAGGTTTTCCTGCCAGCTCTCCTGTACAGTTCAGCCTTGCCCTCTGATGGACCTCCGAAGTCTTGCTGCTGATTCCGGCTGAAAGGAGAAAAATGTTAGTGGTGACCATATATGGCATGGTGGCTCTTCTTGGCTCTTTTCAGCTCTCCCCAACTGAAAAAGCATAGAAACCATAGAAATGTGCTTCTGTTTGTTTTTGGTGCTTTTGTAATGTGTTTTGGCTTTTCGCTACGGGTCAACATCACAATGTAACCTGAGAGTGATTCTAGGCACATTTGATAGTTTTCTATTATGATTTAAAGATGTTCTACAGAAAACTAGTGGTCTCTAATGGTACATCAGGAAACAAAAGCATTAGTTTTTAAACCTATTAGTTCTAGTGGTCATTTTTTCAGTAGGGCCAGAAGCCTAGTTTTCATTCTGTAGTTGCCATTAGTTCATTGTAGTGTAAACTAATGACTCAGTGAAGACTTTATGTACAAACTTAGGTACGTAAAAACGATGCAACCCAGTCCTGAGCATCATCATTTTGTACATACTGGAGCTTCCTGAGAGTTTGTGCTGGTAACCCAGCGAAGAGGGCGCTGTAGTGATCTAGGAAAAGATGAATGTGTGTTATAATCAGTGATAGGCGAAGTACACAAACCATGTACTTGAGTTAAAGTAGAGATACCCAAGGTAAAATATTACTCCAGTAAAAGTAGAAGTTCTTCCCTTTAGACCTCCACTTGAGTAAAAGTACAAAAGTATTTCCCTTCAAATGTACTTAAGTATCAAAAGTAAAAGTACTGAAAGATTAATCATGGCTTTAATGTCTTATTATCATTTTTATAACAAAACTCGCTTCATTAACTCATTTTAGGTGAAAGTACTCCAGTGTCTCTCTTGGTAAACCAGTCTTTTAATAGAATGTCATTAATTAGTGACGCTGATGTCTATTAAAATGATCATAAGCACAAAACACTGAAGGCAAACAGTTTCCATCAGGTAGAACTGAGTGGCTCTGAAATCACTTTTTACAAACAAGCAAAGTTTCAGTTTAAGATTTATTTGAACTTAGTTACAAGTTTAAGTTTAATAAAAACTTTAAACTCAGATTCACAAATGAGTTTCCTTTACTAAACTGCATCTGTAGGTCTCTGTTCATAAACATAAACTAGACAAAACTAATTTACTATAAAATGAAAGTGTTTGTATAAATTCAGAAAAAGACACGTCAGTCTCAACTGCATATGAGTACATATTTCTATATTGTGGTCTTTTTACACAAAGTTAGATTAGTTCATCATTTATGTTGAATAGACTCTCCCAAAGTTTTACGCTGCTGCACTGATGTTGAACCGTGTGCTGCACTGGGTCGGTATGACCAACAGGTCAAAACAAGCTCAAAACAAAGTGACCGCTGTGCCCTGATTGGTGTTTTTGCTTTGCGCTTCTTTCGTTTTGACATGTTATGTTTTTATACACACATAAACCAAAAGGAACGACAGATTTCTCATAATGTAGTGGAGTAAAAAGTGAGATATTTGACTTTGAAATGTAGCGGAGTGAAAGTAAAAAGTCGCCCAAAATGGAAAAACTTCAGTACAGATACACTGAAAAACTACTTAAGTACAGTAACGAATTACATTTACTTCGTTACTGTCCACCACTGGTTATCAGGCAGTGACAGAAGCTGTGTTGTCATTCTGTAGCTGCCGTCTTATACCCATATTAGAAACTTGATGTCCAAGCTGCTTTTCTCAATGGGAAAAAATGAATGGTGTTTACGAGAACTGCTGCTATAAAATAAGAGAAAAGCCTCCAACTACAGAATGATGCACTACAAATCCTCTTCTTTGATCGTCTTCATGGGCGCCACTGTATACAGGCTTCTGTGAGCAATAATAATCCGCTTTTTGTATTATTTGCAAAACATCTGCAGTTTTATAAGATCACAGTTTTCCACTAGGTGGTTTTGCAATGTGTTTGGGCTTTTTGTGATGGGTTCATATCACAGTCTAAAGGATGCTAATGGTTTAACAGTTGACCTGTGACTGATTCCAGCATTTGATGGTTTTCTAACAGGATCTGAAGATGTTTTACAGAAACTAGTGGTCTCTAACAGCTAATTCCCAAAAGCATCAGGTTTTAATCCTAATGGTCCTAATGGTCTTTTTTCAGTTGGATGCTACTTTGCAATATTTTGGTTGTAAATAAAAGTGGAATTTTTCTGAGCCAAACCAACTTGAACTCTGTAGGAAAAAAAAATATGTTTTTACAAATTAGAACCTTCACCTCAGAATCGCACAGAGCCCCTAATGTGACGTTGAGATTAATTTTTAACAACGTGTTGCCACAAATTAGTACATTGAGGCCACAAATCATAATATTCCAGCCACTATTTGCTATATTGAGGCCACAATTTACTATATTGAGGCCACAGTTTAAGAGAAACGTAACCTCTAATTCTTCATGGTTTGGTTTTTCCATCTGGATCTACATGACCAAATCGTAAGGCAAATTATTCAGTAACTGCATGAAATAAATGTAATTTTTTGTTTTATTTTTTTTTGTAAAAGTTCCCCTCAAATTAACAGAACGTGTGTCATGATCATACACATATTGCTGTATGCTTACAATTTACTGCTGAAAGCCAAAAATCTTAGACGCTCTTTGTATTATTTTATAAAAATAATTTTTACAGAGCAGATCACTGAAGAGACGCCGTCTGTTTATAGTTTATAGCCCAGATTTGAGGAAAATGGGTCGACTTTCAGTAGGAAAAAAATTGCGTGTTCAGTTCTTTTATTATAAGGGTTTAAAATTACATCACCCATCTATTTGACTGGAAAGAAGACAGTTACAGCTCTCATACGACCCCCACCTTTTGAAATATTAAAGTTATGAAGAATATGACGAAGTGCGTTTTGGAACCACCAACTCGTGGCCTCTAAATATATATTCGTGGCCACGCCTTATTAATAATAATCACCATTTCGCCACAGGGGCTCCACAGAATCGATATCAGCACCGCTGGAAAGGTTAAAGAGTCACAGAAGGCTGTATCTGAGTAATGTACACAGTGAGGTTGCCGTAGTTGTTGTCATACAGTAGCAGTGGGGCGTTAGCAGCAGCGGTGGAGCTAAAGACCGAAGCTAACCGGAGCTAATGCGCCGCGGAGAGCCCGCACAGCCCCCAGCCGAATGTCTCACCTCCGTCCGGGACACAGACTCATTCCTCACCGCCATGATACCGCTGCTCTGAACACCCTCCGCGGAAAGAAAGACAAAACCTCGCCCGCCTTTCTGCCTGTTCGAGCGCTGAAATAAGGCACGTCTATCGAATTATTCGCGACCTAAGGTCAGCTTAGCTTAGCGTTAAGTTGAAGCCAGCTTCGTGTTCGAATTTCCCCGTTCCACCTTAAATAGCGCAGCTGTTACGTTCTGGCGCCTGACGCTCTAGAATGTAACTCATGCACCATTTAAGGTGGAACGGCGAAATTCGAACAAGACGCTTGCGAATAGGAAACAAACGAGCTAGTTAGCAGTGTAGCGCGTAGCTAAGCAGACTATTTGTGTGTTTTAAGTTTAGTGGCAGGTATAACGGTTGTTTTGGTGGATTTGTCCCATAAAGAGAGGACAGAATAATAATTGTTGTACATTTATTCGCTTTAAAACCGTCTATATTTTGTCAGGTATCTGTTGTTAGCTGTGTAGCTGGCCGGTAGCTTGTTTAGCTAGCTGTGAGCCGAGAAAGCTCGATTGAAATGTATGTTTTGAGTAAAGTTGCTTGAAAAGAAACAGCTTTAAGTGTTTAACTAGTTAATTCTTTGTCCTAAAATGACAGACACTTGAAATGCCAACGTGTCAATTTGCATGAAACTCAGATAAGCGAGTTAGCTGTTGTGCTAACGTTGGTAGGTGTGGAGCTCAGTGTCAGTTCAGTAGCTGGCTACTTAAAGGGGAATTCCACCATTTTTTTCAGAATTTCTGCATAATTAAGATGTAAACAGAGTCATTTAGAGCGGTTTGATGTGAAGTGGGTCAGTTTGCACAGAAACTTAGAAACTCACAGTGGTGGTGATGGGAACCAGACGTCCACCTCTAAAAGTTCCCTCACGGAAAGTTACTGCAGGAAACGGTTATGAATACATTGCCTGATGTCTGAGACACTCTTTATGATAGTTGTGATAAAGTTTTGGCTTAAAGTGTGTTTTAATCCACTTATTTTAATCCAGTCATGGTGGAGTGGGTACATGCAGGATGATGTAAGGCAAAATAGTCCCCAAAGAAAACTTATTTTTTCACAGATTTATCAGTATTTTATCATCATCGTCTCGGAAAGCACATATAGGTTCTCAGGTGGTTTTGGATAGTAAACCGAATGTCTATATTTGTGTTGTAAACATGGTGACGCCTGGTTCCTATCACCACCACTTTAAAGAAATCTGAGCTGTTAGGTTTCTCCGCAGTGAATCATTTCACAGAAAACCATCAGATCAGCCTGTTTATCTACATAGGAAAGCTATAGGAAGTGCTCGATCAGATCAGAAAACACTTTTCTTGTTTGCAGACAAAAGAAAACTAAATTTTAAAAGGTTTTTGTTTAATTAACTGCACTTTCAAATATGCTGATGTCCACATGTTGCATTTGGAGGAACCTAACCCTGTACTTAAATCTGAAATGTAATGACTCTAACCCAACTTTGACAGCATATGAGTTGAAAGTAAACGTGGGCAAATATGTTTGCTTGTTTCAGGTGTGAATGACCGACGTGGTGCCCCCCACTGCGCTCAGCGAAATCAAGCTCCGTCTCCTGTGCCAAGATGACATAGACAGCGTTAAAGTGCTGTGTGGAGATTGGTTCCCCATTGAGTGAGTATTCAGTCATCATGTCTATACAACATAACTGAACCGTTTTTTTTTCATTTAGTGTCTGTTAGATTGAATTTGGTGACATTTGTTGCTTCTCTCTTCCAATATTTCTTATAAATAACTTTCATGTGTGATCTGTTCCGCTTGCTATCTGTTTGTGGCTTTTAGGTAAGTAGGATTTAAAGGGGAATTCTGCTCCATTCCCGTTTTAAAAAACTTAAATAATGTAATTAAATTCTTGAGATGTAAATAAAGTCATTCAGAGTGGTTTGGTGTGAAATGGTTAATTGTAGGGACTCAGGTTTCTTTACAGTGGTGGTGATAGGAACCAGGGGTCGGCATGACTACAACACATATATGACCATTTTATTTACTATCCAAAACGACCAGTTTCTGGGAGCTGTTTTGCCTTATAACGCCCTGCATGTACCTCTCTGCCATGTCTCAGACATCAGGCGGTGAATTCATAACCATTTCATGTAGTAACTTTCTGTGAGGGAGCTTTTAGAGGTGGACGTCTGGTTCCTATCACCACCACTGTGAACAATTCTGACTCTAGAATGGAGCGTTTCACACCAAACCACTCTGAACGACTCTGTTTACATCTTAACCATTTAATTATGTGTATGTTTTGAAAACTTGGTAGAATTTCCCTTTAAATATCATTTTACTAGCATAACAGCGTTTGTTGCTCTAAGAAAGCATCACGTCTCTTTGCTGGTTGAGCACAATCCTCTCTTGCGCCCCTCAGGTATCCGGACTCGTGGTACCATGACATCACGTCGAACAAGAAGTTCTTCTCCCTGGCTGCTACCTTCAAAGGCGGCATCGTGGGGATGATCGTGGCTGAAATAAAGGGCAGAACAAAAGTACACAAAGAGGTTAGAAAGCTTTTGTCTCTACTTGAACACCCCATGTGGATAAGTTATTGGCCCTGGGTGGGCGTCCCAACATTATGACATTAAATTCATCCACACTAGTGCTTGCTTTGCTGTATAATGGTCACTTGTGCTGCAACAGGACTCCACCCCACCAGCTAGGGATCCTTTAGTACTTAGGCTACGTCCACATTACCAGGTTGAAGTGGCGCAAATCCTAATGTGACTCAGATCTGATGTTTTCAGGGCTGTGTGGACACACAAATCTGATCTTTTCATATCCAACCTGAGCCACTTTCATATGTGGTTCTAGATCGGATATGTATCTGATTTGTGGCTGTGCGACCTTAATATGACGCTCAGATCAGAATTCATGGGCTTTTTTCCCCACTGTGCATGCGCCATCATTCAGCGTTACCATGGCAACAGCGCCAAACAGAAGTTAAAGCCTGTAAACGGTGGAAAAGCAGCTCATCTCACCTTTTTCTCCTTCGTCTCGCTCTAATAATGAAGCTGAGAGCTGATCAGAGTTAATTATCTTCTCAGCGAAGCTCGTTCTGCTCGTTAGTTTGTGCTGATGATGCATGTGATTCACTCACGTGACATTACTGAGTAGGATGTGATCATGAGGGTCATTTCAGGACGCCGGTTCGTTCACATTGACAGATTTGAATCACTTACCTAAATGAGTGTGAACCATCGTGTCTGAGAGATCGGATTTGAGCAAAAAAACAGATTTGAGCATTGAGGCTTGTAATGTGAACATAACTTTAGTTTATCTTGCATTTAGATATTAAATATTCAGCCAGTCTGCAAAGTTGCCACAGTTTCATAAACAGCTTTTGTTTTTTTGTTTGAGGATTTTGCATTAGTGATGAGTGCATATTTCATTCCGTGTGGTTTTTACAGTGCATCTTATGCAAGTGCAAGACATAAAAGTGTTTTAAATGGAGCACTCTGGCCTGTCAGGAGCCTTTTTATAGAGTATGATTAATTAGACTGCAAACTCCATGTGCCCTTGACTGACTTTCTGCGTGCAGCAAGGGGTTTACCTTCCGTCACAGACGATCCAAGCTCTAAGTGATAGTTTAACTTTTTGTGCTGACATTATGCAGCCATGCGCTCGGCCGTTCTCCTACAGTGGTTATGCACAGGATTTACAGACCTCAGTTCCGGAAAAGTTCTGACAGTATATTGTGTCCTAAAAACAGAACACAGTGATCAAGTCAATTCCGTTTGCCCTGTATTAAAATTTAAATGTGCGAAAAGATTATATTTAATACTTTACCTTCTGAACTTGGGTGCATGTTTACAACTGTGTTACATCACCTTTCCTTTTAACAACGCTTAATCATTTGGGGACTGAAGACTTTGGCTGTGTTCACACAGCAGGTAAAAGTGGCCCAGATCTGATCTTTTTCTTCATATGTGACACAGGTGTGTGTCTGTCTGGCAGTGTGAACAAATAAAAACACACTGAATCTGACATTTTTAATTCCGATTTGAGACGCTTTCATATGTGGTACTGAAATCCGATACATATCTCATATACAGCAATGTGACTATAAACATTTGGGGTGATGTTTCTGTATTAAAAAAAACAAAAAAAAACAGAAGAGACTTATTCAAACCAGATTTAGAAAGAAATGACCGAATTTCGAAAGTGCACCGAACGCAGCCGTAGGAGAACGAGGCTGCAGCGTCAAAGAACAGATAAAAGTCTGAAAGCAAAGTTTAAAGAATCCGAGGACGCAAACCAAAGAAGTGACCGCGCCCTTTTTACGGCTCGAACACATTCTGGGTGATGAGCCCAGCTGTCAGTCAGTGAAGCTTCATAATGGCTCCTGTGACGCTGGTGAAGATGAAGCTGATACTCCGGGAGCGACTGGCGTTCGTTCATAGTCATGATTGTTTACCTCTGGATGAGCCGTGAAGCTCTGTTGTTTTGTGCATGTGGGTCAGTTTAGGAGCTGATCTGTTCAGACTGATGTCGCATACAGATCACATTTAAAAGATAATCTGAACAGCCAAAGAAAAAATCGGATTTGGTGAGAAGATCAGATTTGGGCCACGTTTACCTGCTGTGTGAACTAGAAGTTTTTGCCCTTCTTCCGTTATACGAGTCTTTAGCTGGGCAACCGTATGGGGCCTTTGTTGTTGTTTTTGTGCTTCTTAATGTGCCACACATTTTCAATGGGAGCCCTGTAGTCTCTGATTACACAGCCATGCTGCTGTACCTCGTGTGGCTTGGTGGGCCATTTTGAAATAAGCTTGGTCGTCCCTGGAAAAAGACGTCATCTAGAAGGCAGCATATGTTGCTCCAAAATGTGTGAATATCTTCCTGTATTAATGGAGCCTTCACAGATGTGCAGGTTATCCACTAATACCCCCCAAACCATGACAGATCATGGCTTTAAACTTTAGGCTGGTAACAGTCTGGATGGTCCTTTTCTTCTTTGGCTGAACTCAACGTCCTGTATTTCTGCAAACAGTCTGAAAGGTTAACTCGTTAGACTGTAGTACATGTTTCCACTGTTGCTGACTGTGACTGTTGTACTAATTGGTGGTATTTGCTTTTAGGATGGGGACATTCTGGCCTCCAGCTTTCCTGTTGACACTCAGGTTGCCTACATCTTGAGCTTAGGAGTGGTAAAGGAGTTTCGAAAACATGGAATAGGTAAGACATAAATAATTGAGGACCACTTGTGGCGTTATAACCATTGAGTTTACCTCTGTATATAAGATAACACCCAAAAATGCCTGGTCGACTGAACAGTGAAGGTTTTTAGGGACCGTTTAGTCTGATCGCATATGTGTAATGCTAACATCTATTCATCATTACCAGTGGTACCATGTTTAGATGAAGCGTTTCTTTAACCTCTGTCCATTCTGCAGGGTCTCTGTTGCTGGACAGTCTAAAGGACCACATCTCCACCACAGCCCAGGACCACTGCAAGGCCATCTATCTCCATGTGCTCACCACCAATCTCACCGCCATTCACTTCTACGAGAACAGAGACTTTAAGCAACATCACTATTTGCCCTATTATTACTCAATCCGAGGAGTGCTCAAGGATGGGTTCACATATGTCCTTTACATCAACGGCGGGCATCCTCCCTGGACGATCTTATATCCTTTTCTTGCGTGTCTGTGCATCCATCTCTTAAACTGCGATCTAAGTAACAATTTACACTGATCAGGCATAACATGATGACCACCTCCTTGTTTCTACACTCATTGTCCATTTTATCAGCTCCACTTACTATATAGGTGCACTTTGTAGTTCTACAGTTACAGACTGTAGTCCATCTGTTTCTCTGCATACTTTGTTAGCCCCCTTTTACCCTGTTCTTCAGTGGTCAGGACCCCCATGGACCCTCACAGAGCAGGTACTATTTGGGTGGTGGATCATTCTCAGCATTGCAGCAACACTGACGTGGTGGTGGTGTGTTAGTGTTGCGCTGGTGTGAGTGGATCAGACACAGCAGTGCTGCTGGAGTTTTTAAACACCTCAGTGTCACTGCTGGACTGAGAATAGTCCACCAACCCAAAATATCCAGCCAACAGCGTCCTGTGACCACTGATGAAGGACTAGAGGATGACCAACACAAACTGTGCAGCAGCAGATGAGCTATCGTCTCTGACTTTACATCTACAAGGTGGACTGACAAGGTAGGAGTGTCTAATAGAGTGGACAGTGAGTGGACACAGTGTTTAAAAACTCCAGCAGCACTGCTGTGTCTGATCCACTCGTACCAGCACAACACACACTAACACACCACCACTACATCAGTGTTACTGCAGTGCTGAGAATGACCCACCCCCCAAATAGTACCTGCTCTGTGAGGGTCCATGGGGGTCCTGACCAATGAAGAACAGGGTAAAAGGGGGCTAACAAAGTATGCAGAGAAACAGATGGACTACAGTCTGTAACTGTAGAACTACAAAGTGCACCTAAAATGGACAATGAGCATAAAAACAAGGAGGTGGTCATAATGTTATGCCTGATTGGTGTATACAATATATACAAAAAAGAAAATTAGCAATAATGATAATTATGATAATATACTTTTTTCAATTAACAAAGTGAGTAAATGAGCTTTTCTTTTCCTAATCAAATATTTTCTAATCAAATATAATATTTGAGATAACTTTCAATAGAATATTTGAAATGTAAAATATTTGGTAGTTGCAGCCCTTTTGTTACATCTATTGTTTCATTTAAAAAGCCTCTATAATGTTCATATGATCCACACAGTCACTCTGACAGACTGTAATACACTACAGGAAGCGTAGGGGGCGATATGGCTTCTACTGTTTCATTTAAAAAGCTCTATAATGTTCATATGATCCACACAGTCATTCTGACAGACTGTAATACACTACAGGAAGTGTAGGGGGCGATATGGCTTCTGCTGTTTCATTTAAAAAGCTCTATAATGTTCATATGATCCACACAGTCATTCTGAGAGTCTGTAATATGATTGTGATATTTTGGATGCAATGAATTAATCAGAGCGGTGCAGTTTCCTCCGTTTTGTCAGCCCAGCAGGTCAAGGTGTTTATGAAACGTAAACAAATGTTGTCCTTAACTTTCTCTCCACTGATTATATTCATCATATAGGGTCCGCCCTGGCCAGCCTAAGCCCATGCTCCATTCCACAGAGGATCTACCGCCAAGCACAGAGTCTTCTGCGAAGCTTTCTGCCTTGGTCAGGCATCTCGTCCAAGAGCGGCATCGAGTACAGCAGAACCATGTGAGAGCTGCCCTGCAGGTGGGCCTTTTTCATCCGTACAACAAAGCAGCTTTCACAGCAGCATTTTTACACACACATCCTATAAATTGTTAACATTCTCCTCTTGCTTTTTGTTTTCTTTCCACGCACCAGATGAAGGAGAGCGGTTTTCAGTCTTACCAGCCCCAGCGGTGGTGATTTTACACGAAAGCTCCTGCAGCTTCCCCAAGCCGTGTATTATATCTGTACATAATATATACTCTGATTAATATATGCATCGTCTTTAGTAGACTACCCTCTTGATATGAACCTTCCAGTCCACTTCATGCCTGTAATTCCGCTGCTATGTAGAAAACGTTCTATGGTTCGCCCATATTTTTAATATAAATAGATTTTTATGTGTGCCTATTCTTCATAAGGGGACTAAGGGGGAGGTAGCAGTACTTCCAGGTGCGTTCCTTTAGTATGGAGTCACTTGCGTGCATGTGTCAGACGGTGTTTTGTCTATTTATCACCACTTCGACACAAAGCCTTTTCTTTATTTCTTTTATTTTTCATTTATGCAGAGTTTTAAGTGGTTTTAGGAGGATATGTGCAAATGCAGTGAATGTAGTGGTGTAGAGGGAAAAGCGTTCGTAGTAAAGGAAAATGCCCACCTCGCCGAAATCGTAGTAATGCAAAAACTCGTCGTATGTCTGCAGTCAGTCATATCCGCAGATGCCATGCAGTGTACTTTGTTTTTATATGGAAAAAGATGAATGTAATTGGTAGGCTAGATATGGTGTAAGGCGAAAATGTAGGGTGTTGGGTCAGAGATTTACCCAAAAATAAACTCGCTGTAAGAAGACGCTCCTACATTGCATGTAACCTTGCAGTGTGAGAGATGAGTGTTGTTGCTTGGAGAGACCCCTAGTGACGTGTTTGAGAGGACAGGGACGTGCTGGCTGTGGTGAGTGGGTTTAAAAATGTCGGGAATGTCAGAGAGTGAGATTTTTTAATAATTGACCCCCGTGCCCAAAGTCGTGATCATGGAAGCCCGTTCCCAGCAGATAGAAGAGAGGAATGTTTCTAAAAATGTTTATCCTCTTCTTCTTGGTTTCTGGCAGCTGTGTGTCAATATATTGACTTAGCACCTAATTAATATTATTGTCGATTTTAATATGTCAAAATATCTAATTTGGCTTGTGGTCTTGTGGTAATGGCTTATTTTCTCAAGATTTTGATCCTACGTCATATATGTTATTAAATTTCAAGGAAACAATTATTTTGGGATAAATCATTTTTATGAGATACTAAATCACTGACATAGTAAATATTTTGACAAAATAAATCAATATTTTGAGAAACATTTTTGTCAATATTTTAAGAAAATGTAATTTTTTTTTATTAATTGTTTAATTACATTTTTCTTATAATATTGATTTTAATATGTCAAAATATTTAGTTTTCTCAAAATAATGACTTATGGTCTCATGGTAACGGCTTTTAAACCTCATGATTTTGAGATGTCATAATAAAATTGTTGTTAAAAGAATAAGTTATTAAATTTTCAATTTTTTGGGGGATAAATCATTTTTATGGGATACTAAGTCTCTGTTTTGTCGTAGTAAATTTTCTGACCAAATTCGGTATTTTGAGAAAAATAATTTTTACAACAGAAGTCAACAGTTTGAGAAAATGTCAATATTATTGAGAAGAAATTATTTCAACGTAGTGAGTCAATATTTTGAGAGAATAAGTCATTATTTTCAGATACTAAATCAAATTTTTGGACATACACAGAAACAGAGAAGCAGGAAAAAAATCAGAGCATCATCCTCCAGCTGGTGGGATGGGCTTCCATACAGGATCCCTCAGGAGAAGGCACCCCCCCCTGCCTACCCACCCCTGGCACAGAGCAGGACTTCTTTGATATATATACATTTCAGATAAGCTATCTGAGGAATAGGTTTATAACACTCAATACTTATAATGCTTTCTAATGTCAACTCTGTTAAATTAAGGTGTAACCACTGTATGTACTGTATATCGCTACTGACGTTCGATTTCAGATCTTAAGCCCCCCCCCCGTTCTGAAAAGGGAAGCATGCCACTTACGTTCTGAGCCGATATGAAGGGTCCCTCTGAACAGTGCACAGGCTTTTAAAGGACCACCATTTCATGTGTTTTGATGTGTGCTACTCTGTAAAGACACGTGCATTGCAACTCCTTGAATAATTTAACTTTTTTTCTCGTGTTCATTTAAGAGTGCATCCGTGTTTATCTGAGTTCTCCCATTCCTGAGTGAGGCGACGGCTGAAAAAAGCAATCGAAAAAAGAAAGAATGCTGTTTTTTCATATAGTTTTCAATCTTCGGACGATCGTGGACTCTGGTTTCTCAGGCTTGGATTGAACCTCGTCTTGGATTCAATTCTAATTGCGATGTTAATACATAGTTGAGTTAAATTCACCAGTGGTGGGACTAGGTTTAATCTGGGCCTGCGAAACCGGTCCTGTCTGTTATAAACACAATCTTATGAGGACTTGTGCAATGGTGCCCCCAACTGGCCTTTGAGATTGTATGGAAAAGGGTTTTTACTTTCTTTTTCCTCTCCTGCTTTTCAACCCACGCAGATCTCGGTCAGGTAGATTTTCCTCACTGTATTTACAGCAGCAGTTACAGCACAACTCTGATCTGCACCTCTTTCAATCCATCCGTTTGTTTACATCCTTTTGCTTCATCCGTCCATGCAGTCTCTCACAGATAGTACACACATTATTTTGAGATGACTTCTAGGCGAGAAAGAAAAGAGGAAATAAAGCTATCGAAGAAATTCACTCGGATTATTATTTTCTATGCTGCATGTTTGTTATTCAGCTTAATTCAACATACTGACTTTTACACGCTGAACAGTGAGATGTTTGGCCACCTGTGGACCTAAATATGACGTGTATATTGATATTACTACTGATATAACAGTTTTAATGTCTTACGTTTTTAAAAGTCTTCATGGTTTTCTGTAATAAATCTGTTTCTATTTAACACTGGGTCCCAAATGGAGCCTCTGTCCCACACTGGAGAGAACTTCTTGGGTTCCTTATACTGGAGAACATACATTTCAGTCCTCACATTAAATACCCCACATCAGTAATAAGCATAAATTACAAATATTCTGTCAATGACTGATCAAAATTAACAGTGGAAAAGAGACTTTTGGACTCCCAAGTGACCTTGTTTATTAAATATTTTACCATATTAATTCATGAACATACTAACATAGTAATGTCTGCATAGCAGTATCGCAAATTAAAGAGAATCATGGGAATTTGATGCAGTATGTAAACATAAAAAGTACCATATATTCTTTAAAAGATGTTTCTTTAGGGGTTATTACTAAAGAAAATTGGTTCTATAGAGAACCATGAGTACTCAAAGAAACTTTTTCATGATTAAATGGTTCTTTGCATGGCAAAATGGTTCTTCAGATGGAGAATGTGTTGTATATGGTTCTGTCTAGCACCAAAAAGGGTTTCTTCCATTGTAACAAGGTGGATATCATAACAATAGAAGAACTCTTCAGTGCTATAAAGAACCTTTTTCAAAAATCTTCTATATAGAACCATCTACAGTGCATTCTCCATCAATCTGAAGAACCTTTTGAAGACACAAAGAAGCCTTTAATCATGAAAAGGATTCTTTGAGTGTTCATGATTCTATATAGAACAAACATCTGTTTTAAGAGTGTTCAGTCCATATGTGGAATTCATTGTTTTTGTGATGTCACTGAAACCAGCTATATGACCGCGAATATTAAATGAGCCACAATACAATAACGTAGTTTATTTACATATGTAATTACTAAAGGCACAGTTATTAAAACAGCCTATTCAATTCCAATGCATAAAGAGAGGCTGGAAAATGGTCATATAATAATTAATAATGGCTGTTTTGGGTGTTTTGGACTGAGAGTGAGATATTCTGATTTAAAGACCTTCTGATGATGCGTCTGATGGGAGAAAATGGGAGTAGCTTTTCAAAAAATAAATAAAGTGCTTTGGAGCGCTACGCATATAGACAGGCTATTTCTGATACCTGGCTAATGCAGAAGAAAGCTAAATTGTACGTCTGTCCTTATTAGCACCTCAATCGGTGAGGGAGTTTGAGGTATTTGTGTAATGCACACCGAGTGTCGTAGTGAGAGAACACTAAAGAACAAAAACAGAAAAAGGGAGTTAAAATTGTGAGTTCTGTCAAATCGATGAGGCTGAGGGATGCAGTACTGCACTATGGTATTTCGCACATTGTGAGAAAGAACATATTAAATGCTCATTTTAGGCCAGAATGTCCCAAGAAAATGACCTGTATGGGCCCTTTAAAGGGAATTTCCCCCAAATTTTCAAAATAACTGCATAATCCAGTGGTTGAGATATAAACAAACTCGTTTAAGTGATCTTTATTAGTCCCAAAATGGGGAAATTTCACCTCCGTGCAGTGAAACACCACATACACACTAGTGAATACACACACTAGGGGGCAGTGAGCATGCTTGCCTGTGCAGGGGGCAGCCCTATCCACAGCGCCCAGGGAGCAGTTGGGGGTTGGGTGCCTTGCTCAAGGGCACTTCAGTCACGTACTGTCAGCTCAGGGGATCAAACCAGTGACCTTCTGGTCACAAGGCTGGTTCCCTAACCTTCAGCCCTCAATTGCCTCCAAACATTGTTCCCTGACCAGGAATTGAACCTGGGAGTGAGAGCGCCGAATCCTAACCACTAGGGGTTTATTTTACTATCCAAGACCACCAATGAACCTACACCTGTTTATATTGTGGCATCAGCATAGAATAAGTCGCGGGAGACACTGCACATCCGGGCAAGTGCTGTTTTATTGAACGGGCATCAAGAGGAAGCTGCAGCCAAGTGATGTGTTGACTGCCGCGGCGCTTTCACCGTTAAGTTACTCCCGTCCTGCCGTCACCATCTTTCACCAAGCTCGGCCTTCTTCACTGTATGCCTTCGCGGTGCCATTCCACTCCTTGCACTATCCCACTTCTGACATCATTGTAGCACCTTTTTGCAAACAAGGAAGCATGGGAGAGGCCCTGATTCTGCAACGAGGAGTGCTCTGGATTGACACCAGCAGAAAAGGCACACAAAAGACAGACCGATTAGCAGGAAAGGTACCACTCTATGGTAGATCCTTAACGTACGATTAAACCTAGACTCTGACACAATAACATGCATGCAACACATCCCCAACTAAAAAAAAACTAGTTTTACATACCATACCTCTAGAGCCCCTTCTGCAAACTGGAGCAAGTGGCAGCCACCATAATAACGTAATGGTGATAGTGGTAAAATAGTGGTAAATTCAGAAGCAAAATGTTTTACTGGGGGCTACATTTAACACCCTGCACACTGTTCTTCAAGCGTTCTTTAATAAAGAAAATGGTTCCATGTAAAACCATGAACACTGAAAGCACCCTTCGCGTGATTGAAGGGTTCTTTGCATCGTTAAAGGGTTTTTCAGATTGATGGAGAGTGTGTTTTATATGGTTCTATATAGAACATTTCTGAAAAGGGTTCTATATAGAATCATCCACAGCACATTCTCCATCAATCTGGACTTGGCTTTCCTGTAGAACACCTTTAGATCCCATTAGAAAACCATCAAATGCATTCAGAATCAGCCATTAGTCACCTGCTAAGCCTTTAGAGCCTTTAAAAAGGCCAAAGCACATTACAAAACTATCAGGAACCAACAGAACCAGTTAAAGGTTTCTGTGTTTTTCTTTTCAGCATTACATTTTTCAGACGTCTGGTTCCTACCACCACCACTGTGAACAGTTCTGACTCGGTAATTTTCTTTAGAGCTGAGTATTAAACACCAAACCACTCTCAACGACTTTGTTTACGTCTTAACAATTGCATTAGGGAGGAAATTTTGATAAATGGGTGGAGTTCCCCTTCGAAGGAGATAGCTAACTGTTACGCTAATATTCGAATATTTAAGGTAACGGTCGTTTCGTGACGTCACCGCGAGCGAGGCTCCGAGCTGAGAGGACTGACTGAAGCAGCTCTGTGTGTGTTTTGGAGGCGTTCTGTCGAAGAGGGTCGCTAGAGGTGCTTTTACTTCTTCACAACGACTTTCTTTTTCAGAAAAACGTACAGCAAAGACGTGTTTTTGACACGTTAGGAGTTCAACTCGTCTCTCCGAGCAAAGTTACGCCGAGGTAAGTGATGCTTCACGGCTATAAAGGCTTGTAAATTAATGTGGTGAAGTTCATACGAACCTGAAGTCAGCTTCTTTTTCCAATTATCCCGTTCCACCTTAAATGGTGCAGCAGATACGTTCTGTTGCCTCAGGCGCCAGAATGTAACTGCTGCACCTTTTAAGGTGGAACGGGAAAATTCGAAAAAGAAGCTGATTTCAGATTGGTATGAAATAAACTTCCTTCGATTTTTTTCCGTTCCACCTTAAATGGTGCAGCAGTTACGTTCTGTTGCCTCAGGCGCCAGAATGTAACTGCTGCACCTTTTTAAGGTGGAACGGGAAAATTCCAACAAGAAGCTGACTTCAGATTCGTATGAAATAAACTTCTTGTTCGAATTTTCCCGTTCCACCTTAAAAGGTGCAGCAGTTACATACTGGCGCCTGAGGCAACAGAACGTAACTGCTGCATCATTTAAGGTGGAACGGAAAAATTCGAACACGAAGTTTATTTCGTGACAGAAACGGAGGGAAACTCAAACGGTGGTTGACTTTTCTTGGCTCACAAAACTAGATAAGCGTATGTTTTTCAATTTTGAAGTGTGTTTTATGTCAGAGTAACGTCAGAGGAGGTGAACGACGAGAAAAAGAAAGAGAAAACCGGGGATTTGTTTGTTTGCTGTGTTTATTGTGCTGGACTGATTGTTTTTACCTCAGAGCAGGTAGGTTAACGAGCTAGCACTGATAATTCTGCACAACTGTCTTCAGATTTTTCTTTCCAAGCATTTAAAATGGTCACCAGTGTAGTTTGGACCGCAGTTTTTAAGTGGATTAAACATTTTTTGTCATAAAAATAATGCCTCGGTTTCGGTTTAAGCAGAGGGAGCGGTCAGAGCGCTCGGTCTGATGCACGGAGCACAGACCTGTTTTCTGTGGAAGCCCATTTCCGCCAGTGGAGACAAACATAACCATTTATTAAGTCATAATAAGGAGAGTTTCTCGTAATTATGACTTAGTAGCTCATAATTATGACCTAGACTTAATATCTCATAATAATGACTTAGTATCTTATGGCTTAGTGTCTCATGATCATGACTTACTTTCTCATAATTATGACTTGGAGACTTAGTATCTCCTAATTATGACTTATTATTTTATAATTGACTTACTTTCTCATAATTGTGACTTAGTAGCTCATAACTGTGTCTTAGTATCTTATAGAGACTTACTGCGTCATAAATATGAGATACTATCTTGTAATTGTGGCTTTGTAAATCATAATAGTGACTTTGTATCTCATAATAATGACTTTGTATCTCATAATAATGACTTAGCATCTCATAATTATGACTTACTATCTCATAATAATGACTTAGCATCTCATAATAATGACGTAACATCTCATTATGATTCAGCATCTCATAATAATGGCTTAGTATCTCATAATGGCTTAGTATCTCATTATAATGACTTAGTATCTCATTATAATGACTTAACATCTCATAATTATGACTTAGTATCTCATAATTGTGTCTTAGTATCTCGTAATTGTGTGTTAGTATCTTATAGTGACTTACTACATCATACATATGAGATACTATCTTGTAATTGGCTTTGTATCTCATAATAGTGACTTTGTATCTCATAATAGTGACTTTGTATCTCATAATAGTGACTGTATCTCGTAATTATGACTTAGTATATTGTAGTTATGGCTTAGTTATGGCTCATAATAATGACTTAGCATCTCATAATAATGACTTAGCATCTCATAATAATGACTTAGTATCTCATAATGGCTTAGTATCTCATAATGGCTTAGTATCCCATAATAA